TGTCTAGGGTGCCGCGAGTGGATTGAGATGGTAGTCGCATTATGTCATTGGCTGCTTAGGTAGGTAAGTGATAGCCATGTTTAATTTAAAATAATAATAACACAGACTTCCCATCACGAACCCGATGTCAGCAGCACCACGATCGGCGAAGCTATCGTGACGTGATGCTAAGCTCAAGGACGATCGATACCTTCTTTCACTACTGTTTAATCCTCCCTGAGTATGTCTACGAGTGTGTAAACCTTAATGTCCATGATACCACATTTGCTAAAAATGACCAGTTTTAGACCAATAAAAACGTGGTATCGGTTCTTTTTCGTTTGATTCTTGAACAATCCATAGACGGCCAATCAATATACCTACGACGTAAGAAATCGATGTCAGCAGCTCAATCGGCGCGAGACTGGCATTCCACTTACCCTTTACAGCTCGCTTTAGTGCATCCTGCCCTCTCTCCTAAACTTTTCAGAACATTTAAATTGGTTTAAAAACGTTCCAGGCTGAAAATACTAAACTAAAAGCGTTTTTTTTCTGGTTATTTTCGTTTGCAAATTGAAACGTACCAATATATATCGAGGTGGCGCTATATAAATTACCTGTACGTATTAGGTCACGCTGAGCGTCCGACTGCTCTAAAAACCGCAATAGACCCGGATCGTTTTTTTTAGCCGATCGACGCCATGAAAAACGTTTAAAACGTTGTTTAAAACAATTCCCTTGCTAATACACTCGGCTAAGGTAAAATGCCAATTAGGGGCCGGTGGCCAGTTAAGGGTCGGATTCGGTTAGCCAATAGGCAATTCGGAATTTCAGGCTTATCTATTTTCATTGGCCACTTACTAAGGTATCATATAAGAGATTACTTAGCAACCCATGATGAAATCAAGCGGCCCTTAATTGGCACGCCGTCACATTTTATGCTCTGTTTTAATTTGTCCTACTTAACGCACCATAGCTGATGTAAAACAATTCAATAACCAGGAATTTATACAATTGTGGCAGCTTTTAATTGGTGCCAAGGCCATATTTTACGTTTTACTAGATCAAAAGATACAATCAAAACAAGAGAAGGTTGCTTTGTTCATTAGCATTTTCCCTTACAGGTAAACATATTTGTTGTAACATCGTAAAAACGCTTTTTAAGTAAAATCGAAAAACTTTACAACCCTAAATACTCATAGGCCTGCACTACCCTAATTTTCCCGCCAGAAATACTGGTGGTGGGCAGCACCACTGGTGGGCTGGATCGCTTAGAAATTCATTTTCTAAATGGCAGGACATCACCAAACATGGACAGCAAGAAGCACGAAGCGGTGCAAGCAGCAAAAATGCAAGGAATTAGCCAGACCCTCGCCGACGAGTACAACATCAACAGGACGACGCTGTGGCGCTGGGTTCAGGACACCAAGCGGGTCGGAGTGGCTGCGAAGGAGAAGCCCAACAAAACCTTCGTCGCCGAGGCAAGCGGGGCCCAAAGCCTCGGTTCTTGGCAATGGATCGAAGGTAATGATTTAAGGAATTAACTATTATGCTAGCGTTGTTTTCTTCTTACTTAAGTATCACGTATTGCTTGACTGGGTTATTGAAATGCGCTCGAATAAAGCCCGTTGTAAAAAACTATTCTGAGCTCTATTGCTGGTGGAAATGATGACTCGTTTTATAACTCGTTATATCTATGTATATTTTCCAGGTGTGACAACCGAATGTCTTCTTATCACGACAGCCCGACTTGAACCCGAGTTTTTTGCTGGTCACTGTGAGATGGCGGCAATCATGTACCTGCATAGATTTCGCAGGCGATACCGCTTATTCATTCAGCGCATCACTTACCGCGACACCAAAAAACGGCTTGAAATGGAGGTAACTCGTGTTAACATTGTATGAGCTCTCAAATATTGTTTGATAGATATCAAAAGTTAAATTGGTTATAAATGTTTCTAGAAAATCGCTGACGAGTTTACTAAAACATTTCAATGCAGTTTAGAGAAGTCTAGTGTGGTGTGTCACATTGTTGTCTTTGCTAAGTTCGCCTCTGTCTTCAACATGGATCAAGCGGTGGTCCACATCGACATGGACTCCAAAACGACTTCGTCGTTGCCAAACACGTCGACGTCGTCCAAGGTGAAACAACATTTTTCGTTCAATTTTCTAACCTTCTCTAGTATGTTAAAATGTGCAGGGATGACGTAAAGTGCTTTTAGAGGATCTGTTTTTCTATGTGCGTCCACCACCGGGGATTAGCTTCCACCGATGTATATCTTCGCTGGCGCTGTAAGTACTACTGTCGACGAGGAAGCGCAACAAAATCCGCTGCAAGCTACTCTGATTGCTCAGAATAAAGACCATATTCTGACGAGTCACGCATGCTCGATTGGATTGACGAGGTGAGTTACAGCTTATTTTTACTGATGTTAAAGTTCTAATTTGTATTGTTCGTTTTCGTAAGTCTAGGCCTGGAAGCCCATCGTATCTGGTACTCGAGTTCTTCTTTTAGACAGCCTAAAAACACACAAGATGAACTCTGTAGGACTGAAGTTAGAAGAAGAATGCAGTACCGAAATCGTGTCCATCCCGCCTGGGATAACGAGCGGGGCGCAGCCTATGGACGTTTCTGACATGCGAGTGCTTAAGAAGCAAAGCAGTGAGCTTTAAGTTGCTCACCACGTCGACAACGGCTTCTCTCCAGAATTAGCCTCCCGTCGCGATGTCATCACCCGCATTGTTGTCCAAACATGGGATGCTGTTCCCGCTAAAACCATTCAGAGGGGTTTTATTCATGCAGGTTTTGTTCCGTTTGGACCACGGGAGAGTAATGGTCGTTTTAGAGTAGCTAAACCAGCTCGATAAACTTGATTGGTTTTGCGGTTTGCATGTCCGATATTCTAATTCAAAACCGTTTTGTAATTACAAGATGGAGAAGAAGGAGAGAAAAATCTAACGAAATCTTCGCCTTCTGCATATTTTACGCGTCGTTGCATGAAATAAAGCTGTTTCATGGAATACGTTAATCCCACCAGATCGGCCGACGTTGGTGCCCGTAACTCCCTTAATTTTTCCATTCAGCAACCGCTACTTCAATATGTTGGAGATGTGATTAATAAAAATACGCCACTAGTGTTAACGAGCCGGATCTCGCAGTATTGGATATAGCCAGTATACAAAGTAGTGATTTTGACACTGCGTCATATTCGACCACCCAGTCCCATACAGAAACCAAGTCTATAATAATGATGGTCAATCAATAACTGAAGAGTAGATATCTAAGGCAGCACTGGCCGTCCGAGTACGAGAATGTGCAGCTCATTCAGCAATATGCCAAGGCAGGAGAAGCCGTCGCCAACCAAGAAAAAGATGAGACTAACCGACCGGGAGCGAGAAAGAGATAAAGGGCTTCACCAAGGTGGCGCGACATTGCGTGCATCACTGGGCGGTCCAGAGATACTGTTTGTCGCGTTATCTATCCCCCCATCCCCCACACACATGCATGCATGTGTTCCAGCTAAGCAGCACCAAGCTCCTATACAGGTGCAGCCAGAAATTGTTTTTTTTACTTTACAGCAGCTGTCGATTCATCGGATCGCCCAGCACTTCGGTATCGCGGAAGGTATTGCTATCGAAGGGGAATACGATAAACGTTTTCTAGCTAAATTTGAATAGGATCTGTGTACAAATTTAGAGATCGTGTTGTCTGGGCAGTGCTGGCTTTGGAGGAAGAATTCCTTCTCTGGCCAAATAAAAGGGAAAGGGTAAGAAATGCTGAAGCATTTGAGGCTCGCTCAGGGTTTACGTGTTGTATTGGATGTGTCGATGGAACAACGTTCAAGATTCTAAACGCCCCTACGATGAACCCCGAATGTTATTTTCGCGGAAGTCAGAGCATTGTATCGGTGCTCAAATTATTTGCGATTCTCGACGACGTATTATATATTATCAGGTAGCTAGCAGCTGTACTCTTTATTTTTTTATTTTCTAACTTTTAACATTAAAAAGCAAATAATCCTTCTGGCATGGTCTTTGAAGATCAGGTTGGCGCCATAGCAGGAGAAGCGACGCCGGCGTTCGACACAGATCGGGGTATAGGAGGCGGCGCGGGACAAGAAGACTTTGCAGGATACGCGAACAGGAATCTGGGACTCGTAGGAGCTATCGCTCAGCCGCTTAAGGAAAAATCTATTCATTCGTACATTTAAGTCGTTGTGAGCACCAGCGAGTGCACTTCACAAGAGTAACAACTGGCAGTAAGCTTGCGTATTCATATCAATCCTTCTGGCATGGTTCTCCACCAATCACAGCTAACCTTCACTGATGGCTTGCAACCTTCCTCTTTTTCAAGGAAGATTTGAGTCGAAAAAAAAAACGGGTTGATTTGATTGAATTCTTTCCAACCGTGATAACCCCAAATTTAATAATACATTTGTATTGCTCGTGTTTTGAAAGAGCTCAGATTAAAAAAAATATTTTTGGAAAATTAGCTGCATTCATTCTACATGTAACTTTAGGTCATGGCGATCGACAGAATGGCTAGGCGTCTCAACAATATGCGCTACGTGCTGTTCGTGTTACTGTTGCTACTTGCAGGATACCATTCCATCGTTTGTGCTGTCGATGCCGATGTATCTGCGTCGTGGAGCATCGCGACTGTGAGCGCAGCGCAGATACTCGATCTTGTGCTCACAACGGGGGACGATCCTCTACTTCCAGCGGACGCGCTGCTCGAGATCCAACTCAACTCGCTCTTTACCGTCACGTCGGGTGCTGCTGTGGACGAGGCAATGCTAAGCGAGACTTTGAGTGGCACCTGGAATGTCACGGTGGACACAAATACCAAGAAGTTGACTGTGCAGCGCAGTGGAGATGGAGCAGAAGTGAGTTCCGGTACCCAGATACGATTCGAACTGAAGGGGATAATGAATCCCAGTCGCGCTGGTCGAGTCAGTATTGGAGCCATGACGATTTCAGACAGTAGATCTCAGTTTACTTGGACCGTGCAATTGCCGACGATGGAGGTCGAGCCCGGAGTGATTTGGAACGCACAGCTAGCGTTTTCAAACCTACTGAGCGGTCGGAGTGCGTCGGTGGTAGTCCACATGACATTACCACACGCTGTGCCGAATGATGGGGTTATTGCTGTGTATTTTCCATATATGTATGGCTCGTTATCGGGTGTGATCTTGTCAAGTGTTGCTGGATTAAGCGGAGATTTTACACTTTCGACGACGAATAATGTGTTTCGGATTAAGCGTGCAGTTGGTTCGGGAACAGAAAGTGCAGAGATGCAAGACGTGGTCATAGAGCTCGAAGGGATCACGCACCCGTTGCTGGAGGGTCCCATGGGTCCTTCGGTTATGTTGCAGACACTGGATGCAGCTAGTCGCATCATCGATCGGACATATGTGGACACGTCCGACAATGTCCTTGCGACAGCACGTGTGGTGCTCAGTAGTTTGAGTCTTCGAGTGACTGAAGGTGACGCTACTGGAGCGCAATACACGGTCTCATTGAGTGCGCCACCGTATGGAAACACTGCCTTGACACTCTCGATCGGAGATCCAGCTATCAAAGCGAAACTGGTGCTTGATCCGGAATATTTAGTGTTTTCCGCGTCGAATTGGTCTACTCCTGCGAAAGTCACTGTGACTGCGACAAATGATAACGTTGTGAGCGGAACTTTCACTCAGGAGAATATAGTGAGGATCGGACACACGATTATCAGCGGTGACAGCAGCAACACCTTTGCAGCGGTCAACGACGTGAGCGTTCACATTAGCGAGAACGACTTTCCCGCTGTTCATCTCTCGGACCGCTTTCTCGCGGTTGTGGAGGGACTTCGCAACGACAGCTACATAATCTCCCTATTGTCCCAACCAAGTAGCGACGTCGTTGTTCACATGACACCCCGGGACTCGTTTATCGAGACTGTTCCGGATCAAGTGGTGTTTACAGCCAGTACGTGGAACACGCCGAAGGCGGTTAACGTGGTGGCGTCAGTGGCAGCATCCACTGTATCAACAAGTACACGTAGTGCTATTTTTCACCAGCTTTCTTCGACTGATGCAAACTACAACGGCAAGATCGATCTAGTTTTCCCGCAAAACGAAGTTCTGGTGTACTACGAGCCGCTCGAGATGAAATCTTGCGTGGAACCTTGTCGCGCAGGATGGTTTCCACTCGTTAACGTTACAACAGGAGACTCACAATGTGTTGGCTGTCCACTTGGATATTTCTGTGCGGGATCCTGCGTGGCACCAGTGGCGTGCCCCATCGGAACGTCGTCTAACGTGGAATTTGCGTATGATGTTAGTGTTTGTCAGACTTGCTCGACAGGTATGTATGCACACGCTGAAGGAATGTCGACATGTCTAGTGTGTCCGGCGGGTGCATCTTGCAGTGATTCCAAAGCAAGTCCGCATCCTTGTCCTACTGGTACCTATTCAGGTGCTAGCGAGACTCAGTGTCACGAATGTCCAGCAGGGAGCTTCAACGATAAGACGTTCCAGTCAACCTGTTCCCAATGTCCAGAGGGTTATTACTGCCCCAAAGGCGCGATCAATGCTATTTCGTGCGCACAAGGCACTTACTCCGTGAACTCAGGAGCTACACCCTGCGAAAAGTGTCCTGCTGGATACGCGTGTTCTGATCCGACCGTCGAACCAGTTCCATGTTCGAGCGGCTCGTATTCTGTCGTAGACAGCTTGACCTGTACGACATGTCCAAGTGGACACATGTGTCCATTAGCGGACCAAGCGCCACAGCTGTGTGGTGCGGGATACTATAGCGCTGATGGCTCAGCAGTGTGCAAAATATGCCCTCGCGGATTCGCTTGCAGTAGTTCGACAACATCGGAGCCTGTTGCATGTCCATTCGGCACATACAGCAGCATCGAAGGGGCGGTGACGTGTCGTACGTGTCCTGCTGGCCACAGCTGTGTCGATGTGAGCCAGTCGCCGGTACTATGCAAGTTTGGAAGCTACAGTTTGGAGGTAAAGCATAGCGATACGACCTTGTACTTTGGCTGTGCTAACTTGTTGTCCATGCTGCTCCACACAGGGTGACCATGTTTGCCATGTGTGTCCTGCAGGCAGCTATTGTCCCGACCTGTACAGCAGTCCCTTGAGTTGCGCCGCAGGTACCTACTCGCTGGGAAACGCCACAGTGTGTACTCTATGTGGTGCTGGCGTGAAGTGCTCGATTGACGCGGCTCCAGTTGCGTGCACTGCGGGCTACTATTCGCATAATGCGTCTTCTTCATGCTTGCTGTGCGATGCAGGGAGTTATTGTCCATCTACGTCGCTGCCGCCGACGAAGTGTGCTCAAGGTACATACAGTCACAACGGAGCTGTGGCATGCACAGCCTGCCCGTATGGACACACTTGCACGACTTCAGGAGACCCCGTGGCATGTACACTTGGTCAAACGAACAATGCGGACCACTCAGACTGTACAACATGTCCAAAGGGCTACGAGTGCTCGCCACTTAAGAGTGCGGTTGTGGCATGTGCGACTGGAACTTACAGTTTGGATGGAGACGGTCAGTGCGTTCAATGTCCAAAGGGTTACAAGTGTGCTTCGACATTAGAAGCCCCTGTTCGCTGTGCTGACGGGACGTATTCTGTTGGTGGTTCAGTGGAGTGTTTGGACTGTCCTGCTGGCAAATACTGCCCACAACCAACTTCAGATCCGATCCCGTGTCCTGTGTGGTATTATTCCGAAAAGGGAAGTACGGCTTGCACCCCGTGCCCCGCTGGAATGGATTGTTCGTCACCGTCCAGTGCACCAGTAACGTGTCCAGGCGGAACGTATAGTCTAAGCACCGCGTCTGCGTGTTTGCCTTGCCCGACAGGATCTGCATGTGTGAACGCAACAACAGCACCAACAGTTTGCGACCCTGGGACTTTCAGCGCCCAAGGCCAGATGAAATGTACAGAGTGTTCCGCTGGGCACTTTTGCCCGCAGTCTGGTCAGGCTGCACAGCTTCCATGTCTTAGTGGAACGTACGCCGAGCCTGGAGCGACTGCTTGCACGACATGTCCTGCTGGGATGCAGTGTCCAGCTACAACGCAAGCAATTAAGGAAGCGTGTCCACCAGGAACGTACTCACTGGGAGGCCAAACGCAGTGCATTTCGTGTCCAATAGGCCACATGTGTCCACGTGTGGATGGAAGCCAGAATGCTGTATGCGCTCCAGGATGGTACTCGTCGGGAGGTGCTGTGCAGTGTACGATCTGCCCTGCTGGCTATGCCTGTCCAGATCCGTCAACGTCTCCTCCTGTTGTTTGCCCTGATGGCTACTATAGTTTGGCTGGTGCCAAGATCTGTACTGCTTGTCCTGCTGGTTATGCGTGTCCAGATCCAACGACGAAGCTGCTTGTACCGTGCGCGAAAGGAACCTACTCAACAGGCGGAGCGAGCTCTTGCACACCGTGTTTAGCTGGCTATGCGTGCTCATTTTCCAACAGCTCCAGTGTGGAGCTGTGTCAGACTGGGTTTTATTCGCCCACAGGTTCGGGGTCGTGCATCGAGTGTCCGCGAGGATACTACTGCGACAAACCCAACGAGATGCCAAAGAACTGCTCTGTCGGGTACTACAGTCTGCGTGCGTCCTCGAGCTGTCTAGCGTGTGACCCGGGTTACGAGTGCCCGCGATCCGACCAGCTACCGCAGCCGTGTCCTGTTGGATATTATAGTGAAGGTGCTGTAGCAAACTGTCGCTCTTGCCATCCAGGATACAAGTGCAGTCTCGCATCAACAAACCCGACCCCAGAAGAAGACGCTTGTCCGATGGGAGGCTACTGCAACCCGCCGACAACCTTTTTTCTGTGTCCTGCAGGCACATTCGGCAACGTGACGGCTGGAGAGGTACGAACGCAGACAAGTTCCCCCAACAACAGCGAATCTAACTTGACCTTTTGAGTGTTGTAGAGCATTGATCACGCGTGTGCACCTTGTCCGGAGGGTTACTACTGCGAAATGGGAACGACGCCGTTGACGCGGCAGATTTGTCCAGCAGGGTTTCTCTGCCCGGAAGGCACCAAACGTGCGTCTCAAAATCCGTGTCCAGCTGGAACGTACAATCCGAATCAAGGACAGAAGAGCTCGGATGTGTGTCAAGTCTGCCCAACAGGGTCGTATTGCCCCACTGGAAGCTCACAGCCGCAGCCGTGTCCACAAGGTTATTACTGTCTAGAAGGCACACGCACCGTTAATCAGTATCCGTGTCCTGCGGGAACGTTTAGCGGACCACAGACTGGCTTGACTATCGGCTCGCAGTGTAACGATTGTCCACTAGGAAACTACTGCCCTGAAGCGAGCAGTACTCCGACGAAATGCCCTGCAGGCCGATACAACCCGAAAACAGGGGCGGCAGACCTGCACGAGTGTTTGGATTGTCCGCCTGGCTGGTCATGCCCTCACGTGGGTCAAAGTGACTACGTGGATCGCTGCGCTAAGGGCCACTATTGTCCAGGCGGCACAGTACTTGCAACAGACCACCCCTGCCCTGCTGGAACATACACCGAGAGTGTGGAGCTCATCCGTTCTCAAGACTGCACCATTTGTCCGCTGCGTCATTCCTGTCTGCAAGGCACTGGAGGCGAAACGCAGACGATGCTGGATTGCGGAGCGGGCTTCTTCTGTCCGAACGGCACAGCCTACCCCAATCAGTTTCCGTGTCTGCCAGGAACGTGGAGCTCCAGTACGTCGCTGTCAGCTGCAGCGGAGTGTGATATCTGCCCGCCAGGTAAATACTGCCAAGGGGGCAAGTCGTTTATTGACGGAAGCTGTGCACCTGGCCACTACTGTCCGCTTGGAACGTACTCGAGTACCCAGTTCCCGTGTCCAAGTGGAACATACACAGCCAACACGTGGTTATTCGAGCCAAGCCAATGCGACGACTGCCCGCCAGGCTACTACTGCCCAGCCGGGTCTGTGGCTTCGATCCCGTGCAAACCAGGAAGCTTCACGTCCGTCAACAATACGAAAATGGTGGGTCCAGCAGACGCATGGCCGGCATGTATCAATTGCCCTGCAGGTTACTACTGCATCGAGGCTTCTGTCACTCCAAAACCTTGCAGCAGAGGAAAATTTTCTACGAGTGGATCCAAAGCGTGCTCGACATGTGAAGCTGGATACTTCTGCTACAGTGAGGCGACAAGTGCAGCAAATATGCGGTCGAACGCAGTCGGTTGGTCAGCACCCGGAGCTCTTTACGGCACGTGCTACAATGGCACGTACTGCCCGGCTGGATCGGATAGTGAACCTGCACTAGAAATGGATGCCTGTCCGCCAGGATATTACTGCCCGACTGCTACTCCGTCTCCAGTTATTTGCCCTGCTGGTACGTACAGCAACTTCACCGGCCAGGATAGTATGAGCGATTGTACTCCCACCCCAGCGGGCTACTTCAGTCTTGCCGGAGCGTTGGAGCCTACGGGTGTGTGCTCTCCAGGATTCTACTGTCCGCTTCGCTCAACTTCTCGAACGCAAGTGCCTTGCCCAGCAAGATACTATCTGAATCGAACGATGGGTCAGAGTGAAGATGACTGTGCTTTGTGTGTCTCGGGATCCTATTGCCCCATTGGAACAGCCTACCCGGTCACGTGTCCGGCAGGATATTACTGCCGCACAGGGATAGCGAAACCCGAACCCTGTCCGATCGGGACGTACGCTAACGCTACTGGACTACGAACTGTGGACGACTGTCTACAGTGTCCTCCTGGTATGTACTGTGATTCGACAGCACTCACCGTGCCACGAGGTCTTTGCGATCCAGGTTACTTCTGCACACTGGGAGCATACACGTCAGCGCCGATGAACTACGAGTCAACCTTATTTGGCGTGACGAATCGACATACAGGTGACCAGTGCCCACCAGGTGCTTACTGTCCATTGGGGTCTTCATCACCGACGTTGTGTCCGCCTGGGACGTATAATAACTTTACAGGACTGGAGTCTGTGGGGCAATGCGTACCGTGTCCTCCAGGTGAGTACTGCGAGACACCGGGACTGCTCTTACCGACAGATAGCTGTCATCCTGGCTACTTCTGTATCGGAGGTGCTGCGATACCGACTCAAATGGAGACGCCGGCTGGATTCTTCTCGCTCGCGGAGGCCACCGCTCCGTCCCCATGCCCACCAGGCCAATTCAATCTCTATCCTGCTCAAGACAGATGCGTGATCTGTCCAGCCGGCTACTACTGTGGGTTACCGGGGACTATTTCGCCTACAATATGCCCCACTGGAAACTACTGTCCTGAAGGTACTGCTCTGCCAGTGAAGTGTTTACCTGGTATGTTCGCGGATGTCCAAGGCCTCGTCAAGATTGAGCAGTGCGAACCATGTCCCAATGGTCAGTACTGCGATTCTTATGGTCTTTCGGCGCCGAGTGGACCATGTTTAGCTGGTTTTGTGTGTACGGGCGCCTCACCAGTTGCCAACCCGATGGCCCAGAGCTATGGGTACGTTTGTCCGGCGGCCAATTACTGTCCAGAAGGTACAGGGAGTGCCATACCATGCCCAATCGGCTCATTCCGAACAGGAACGGGAGGTACAAGTCTGGCATCGTGCTCGCTGTGCCCCGGAGGCAAACACTGCAGCTCCACAGGCTTGACTGCTCCATCGGGTTCGTGTAACCCTGGTTACTACTGTACTTCAAATGCGTCGACGCCGACACCGACGGATAGCGTGACCGGAGCGGTCTGTCCTACTGGTTTCTACTGTCCGGAGGCCAGCCCTGCTCCAATAAAGTGCAGTGCTGGAACGTACGCTGCAGACAAGGGTCAAGACGTTTGTGACAAATGTCCAATGGGATTCTATTGCGATGGTATAGCAACAAGCACGTACGCTGACTGTTCTGCAGGTCGCTACTGCCCTGCAGGTACAGCAGAAGTACCCGTACCGTGTCCGATTGGAACATTTAGCAACGCTGTTCGCCTTACGAACGTGACGGAATGCCAGAATTGTACACCGGGATCTTATTGCGCCACTTTGGGATTACTGCAGCCTACAGGACTGTGTGCGGCAGGCAGCTTTTGTCCTCCACGAGCCGAGAGTGCATTTGGTAGAACTGCTGACAACGATACGCACGTGTGTCCTGCCGGCGCGTACTGCCCCGAAGGCACGTTCCTGCCGAGTCCATGTCCTACTGGAACGTACTCGAATGACACTGGACTGGTGAAACCCGGAGATTGCGTCTTTTGTGACGAAGGCTCGTACTGCACCGACGCAGGGCAAGTGAAGCCCACAGGTTTGTGTGATGCCGGCTACTACTGCAAGCGCAACAACACGCAGCCTAGTCCTTCCTCAGGTGTTGTGAAGGTAGTGACAAGCTCGACGCAGGGAACTGAGCTGACCATCTACTTTGGCGGACAAATCTGTCCGATCGGCTCATATTGTTCACAAGGTGCGGTCACTCCGATCTTGTGTCCCGAAGGCTCTTACTCCAATGCCACCGGTGCTTCGACGTGTCTACCGTGTCCACGCGGGTTCTTCTGTCCACTTGGTTGCAGCGATTATCGAGGCAACGAGTGTCCAATGGGTCACTACTGTCCCGAGAGTACTCAAAGAGCAACTCAGCTCCCATGTCCACCTGGGTCCTACGGTGATCGGACAGGACTACAAGACCTCGTACAATGCACACCAGCGCCAGGAGGTACCTTTATCGACGGATACGCCGCAGTGGAGCCAACCGGAATTTGCCGTAGCGGATTCTATTGCTCCGGTGGGTCTGCTACAAGCACACCAGCAGAAACTACAGTAACTGGTGGGCCATGTCTCCCAGGTACCAATTGTCCCGAAGGCTCCGCGGTTCCGATCGTCTGCGATGCTGGAGCATACTGTTCGTCGACAAATACCGACGCTGCACTACCTTGCAAGGAAGGTTTCTACTGCGTCCAAGGATCTTACACAGCAACACCAACGGGCCAGAACAACTCACTCGGTATGATCGGTGACGTGTGCACACGTGGTCATTACTGCCCTCAAGGAACTAGCAACCCCATTCCATGTCTCCCGGGGAGCTACTCAGAGACCACCCAGAACGCGAATGCAAGTTACTGCTTGTCCTGCTCTCCAGGATTCATCTGTAGCACGTCTGGGATCGTGACTCCGTTTGAGAAATGCCCAGCTGGGTTTATCTGTCCTGGAGGTGAAAGCTCAGCCACGCAGCCGTGTCCAAAGGGATCTGAGTGTCCTGAGGGTTCGTTTGAGCCGCGTTCATGCCCCGCTGGAACGTTCGCGGATGAGAAAGGTCTTGCGTCTTGTAAGCTGTGTCCTGAACGATACTACTGCGAGGCCGGGAGTGGTACTCCTCAGATCTGTCCTCAAGGTTATTATTGTCCACTGCAAACACCATCACCAAGAAAGTATCCGTGTTTGGCTGGGTCGTTTGGAGATCAAATAGCGTTGGCTAGTTCTAAGGAATGTGCACAATGTCCACCCGGAAAGTTCTGCTCAGGGTTACCACCAACCAACACAACGTCAGGTGCCTGCGCTTCAGGTCATTATTGTGTTGGGAAAGCTACTACTGCTGAGCCAATCGACGGTGTCACTGGAGGTTTGTGTGACGGTGGCCACGTTTGTTTTGGCGGAGCTTGGATGGCCGACCCGATCGATGGAATTACGGGTCGCATATGCGACCCCGGCTTTTATTGCCCGGTGGGGTCTTCCAACCAGATCCGCTGTCCAAAGGGAACGTACAACAGTGTCGAGAAGCAAAGAACTTGTGTGATGTGTCCGGCTGGTGGCTATTGCGATACCAATTCGACAACACCAGTGCCGTGTCCTCTTCGATACTACTGCCCAGACGGGGTCGAGAATCCTGTGTTTTGTCCGAATGGCACCTACGGACACGAGGTAGGGCTTATGCGTGCTAATGAATGTGCGCCCTGTCCTGCAGGCAAGTTCTGCGTCGCAGGAACAGTGACTGCTTCGTGTACTGCTGGGTACTACTGCAAATTACGCAATGACCATCCGAATCCAGTAGCACCAATTACGAACGGCACAGTGGACAGTGACATGTCGTGGCGAACAGAGCTGGGAGGTCCATGTCCAATCGGCTACTACTGCCCCGAAGGAGTCCTGGATCCCATTCCGTGCCCCAAGAACTCTTCACGCCTCCAGACATTAGGAATCGCAGAAAGTGACTGTAATCCGTGTCCTGCAGGCAAGAGCTGCGATGATGGCACCAGTACTGTGCCGTGTCCTGCTGGATCTTACTGTCCGTACGGCGTCAGCGAAGTGCCCTGTCAAGCCGGTACATACAACGGAGCTGAAGGAATGGCAAACCAGGAAGATTGTCTACCTTGCGATGCTGGAAAGCTGTGTAACCGAACCGGAATATTGGATCTCACAGACTACGACTGTCCTCCTGGGAACTATTGTCCTCGTGGATCGTTTGAACCGCAGCCTTGTCCAGCTGGAAAGTATCGCGCACTTCGGGGTGCCAAAAGCTCAGATGATTGCTCGCAGTGTATTGGGGGGTCTTACTGTGAAGCTGGAGTGATTCTACCCACAGTGTGCAACGCTACTACATACTGTCCTGAGGGTGTAGGCTCACCACGTCTGTGCCCTGGTGGCAGCTACTGCCCGTATAACACAACGACGCCAGTCACGTGTCCAGAAGGCTTCTTCTGTTCGCCTGCAGTTGCCTCGACCTCGATCTGTACACTTGGTCACTACTGTCCCAGTGGAACGACAGCGCAGCTTCCTTGTCCACTGGGGTATCTTGGTCGAACTACTCCTTTAGATGGGGCATATACGTCGCTGTATTCATCATGTGAAGCGTGTCCGCCTGGGACGTTTGGTATCGACGTTAATCGAACCCGGTGTGACGAATGCTTAGAAGGATTTGTCTGTCTTGGAGCGACCAATTCAAGCCACCCGACAAGCCGAGAGGTTGATAGAGGCTATCCATGCCCACCCGGTTACTATTGCCCTACCGGCAGCTCGTCAGAGATCGCATGCCCACGTGGAACTTATCAACCGAATTACAAAGCCTCAAATGTGTCAGCATGTCTGCTCTGTCCCGAGAATTCGTATCAGAACTCTGTAGGGCAGTCAAGTTGCTTACCGTGCTCAACGAGCGCCTTTGCCGGAACCGGAGCCACCAAATGCATGTGTGTTGGTAGCCATCGTGCCTTCCAAATGACAGACGGGTACTGTATCTGCGAACCTGGCTACGAGTTCTATGACCAAGATATGATCCTGCGCAGTGACGAAGACGGAGACGTGGATTGTCAGCCAATTGTGTACGACCGGTGTAGCAGCAGTCAAGTACGTTCTGATAGCGGCCTATGCGTCTCTGCGAGCGGGAAAGCTTGTGACGCAACTTGCGACAACGGTACAGGCACATACGTAGCTAGTCTCGGCGTTTGCCAGTGTGACGAACAACCTGACCTGGATACGGTGTGCAATAAGAAATGCCGTGATGAAGCGACACAGATTCAAGTGAACAGCAGCACGGGTCAACTGCAGCTCTACGATCCCGGTTCTGGTGAAGTGCTACCGTTATCGAACGAGGACAGCGCTAGTGGTCTTGTCTCAAAGGTATCTTGCACGACTGGAAGTGACTGCCAGCTTCACTCGATTGCCGTGGCCTCGACAGGGTTTTCAGGTTCGTATGACCTACCACCAGTAATTTCCGACGCTACCTCTCGAAGACGACGATTAACCACAGCCTCGACTTCACTTTCCATCGCGAACCCCATGGTTTGTTTATCAGTAGGAAACGGTCTGCTCTTCGACTTGTCCGTACCTCGTTCGTACCCGGTTTATCTAAAGGATTCCATGCTCAACACGAACCCGAGTTTCGATTACGGAGCCTTCCGGTCGCTTGCAGCGAAGGTGAATGCGAACTCGAGCACCGTATCGGCATTCGCTTTCTCTTTCACGGAGCCAGGGACGTACGTGTTCGGGAACTCGCTCAACTCTGCAGCCCAGACAATTGTAGTGGTGATGAAGACTGGTACGAGTTGCCCCACGGAAGCTCCAATTGTCCCGCTGAATGAGAAGAACTTGATCACTGTGAGTGCCAAGCGACGGACTGATGACATTATCTTGGCACCGGACTGGGGGCTTATCATCGGACTACTGGGTGGGCTTTTCGGAGTGGTAATCGCAGTCATTGGAGGTCTGTACTACTTCCGAGCCAAGAGCTGGACCAATACTGCTGTGAAGAGCGTCAGCGGATATCGAGCGAAGAATAAACAAGTAAACCTGTCAGCTATGCACTCGAAAGGTACTGTGGCGGTGACCACCGATTCCCCGCAAGGTGATGGTGACCTTGTGACGGCAGAACCGACGACAACGGGGAAGCGACTCCAGCTTGGAGGACAAGAGCCGATGAAGGGAGCGTCGATGGAGTATCACGCAGATTTAGGACGCTGGGACGAAGAAGATCTGGATCTGCGTGAGCTTGTAGACCGACTTCAGTTCCATCATGAAGCTGTGACGAAAAGCTTCGAGGACCAAAAGGGAGACGTGAAGAACTTGATGCAACACTTGCAAGCGGAGGCTATTGAACTCAAAAGGTTATTCGTGAACGCGTTGGTTGCCTCCGCCGCATCTCCAGATGCAAGTAAAGAGGACCCTTCTCCTTCAGAGATAGCGGAAGCTTCTGAAGCGCTCCCGATCAGTAAAATAAGTGGACGTCCGCGATCAAAGAGTGTGGCGGGCAGAGAGAAATTTCTGCTGGAAAATCTCGAACGTGACCTACAAGATCGTGAGCAGTTCGAGCAGAAGAAGACTGCAATGTTGGGTAGTGTGAGTGCAGGTCTTCGTGAAATTGAAGGATGGAGTACACAGCTGGCAGAGATAACTGGCGCCATAGTGCAGGAAATGGCCTCACCAAGGGAGGATTGCACGCCTGAGCGCACCAGTACGAACGAGGAATCTTGTCTCGAGCATACGCGGACAGTGATAGACGACCTGAAGAGCTTGTTAGCATCCGACCCAAGGACACAAACGTCTTCGTCTCTAATTCACCTCACAGAGCAGGAGAAAGGACGACGTGAAGTGGGCAATTTCGTCTTGGAAGCATCTCAACGGTACTTCACGCCTCGTTCAGCAGCTCACGAATCCGCAAGCTCTAGTGACATTCTTCAGGAACTCCTGGAACTGCATGGCGATGTCGAGAAATCCCAAAACAAAGAGGACGAGGCTCTGTTCGGACCGCTGTCATCCCTGCAAAAGTTTGGAGCTGCTCTCCCCCAAGTACTCGCTACGATCGATGACTTAGAAACCAGCTTCCGTCGCGAGCTGGATGCCGTTCGCGAGGAGCAAAATCCAGTCAAGGAGCGTGCTGTACAGACTCAAATGCAAAGTCGTCTTAGTAAACTGCTTACAGAAGTTGCGGCTGGAGCTAAGAAGGTAAACGAAAGGCTGGATAAAGAAGCGCCACGTAAAATTAAGCTCCGACATGGAGCTCAACACGCGGAAGATGCACTGAGTAGAGCGGTGACGAGCGCCAAAGAGGAATGGAACTCCGCGAATCAAGAGCAACGAGATCGTATTGGAGTGCCGACAAGTACACAACAACCTGAAGAGGCGACAGTTAGCGCACATACGCCATCGTCTGCTGAGGAGCTGGCTGCGTCAAAACTCCGAGACGACACACTCTTTCAGATCAAAGATCTGCTGGTCGGGCTTACCACACTTCTCCGGTCGAACGGTGTACCTTTAAATACAGCATCTCAACACATGACCACAACCGTACAGCTGCAGCCATCTCCAGCTCTTGTAGCAGATGCGAAGCGTAAAGATGAGAGCGCTGCACAACAGAGTGCTGCAGAGTATGCGTCATCTCTTGCAACTAGCTATCCGCAGCTTTCGGCAGTGGATAAGGAACGTTTGTTAGACGACTTTGCTTCAGACATGCGTACAGTTCAGTCGTCTGTAAATGTGGAGACTACGCGGACACAAGCGGAGCAAGCGACAAGGCAAGCTGCTACAGAGACGCTTCTCGAAGCTAAAAGAGCTCAGGTCCAGCGTCGCGAACAGGAAGACGCAGATGTTCTGCGTGCACAACATGACGAAGAAGAGCAGTCACTTGAGTCCCAGTTTCGAGAAGAAGAAATGGCCATCGAGCAAGAATATCTCAAGGAGCTTTCAAGTTTGGAAATGGAATTTGAAAGTGGCGCTGGTGACGAGGCTGAGGGTGCCTTTGCTGGGTCATCAGAATATTTGTTTGATGACCTCGATGATGGAACGGCAGGAGATGAGATTCTTCCTCTGTCCCTAATAGAAGCAGAAGACGCAGTGGGCGTACTTGACTCTAAACAGGACGATCCAGTCGATGACAACGCCGACATCATTGCGCAGCTCAACGATGTGTACTCTCAGGCCTGGAATGATCGCGCCCGGATACTTGCAATGGAGGACGCGCTTAAGAAGGAGCAACTCAACGATCGGCTTCGTAGAAAGCGGAATGCACTGAAACATGACATAGACGCTGCAGTGGAGGGAGCCCTAGATACATCGCAACTTGGGGAGGAACTAAAGGAACTGATGCTGGAGTCTTCAGAGATTAAAGATGATGTTCTGGAAGAAGTTGTCAAGAAGCAAGACGACATGGATCTGCTTCAGCAAGAGGCAGTGGATAGGGCGGTTGAACGCCTTCGACAGCAGGTTGCAGACTGTAAAAACCGCGGTGCTGCTGATGAGAAAGATGGTTTCCAACAAGATGGCATCAATGAGGTGGTAAAGACGGCAAGACATTTTGCTGAAGCAGACAAAGTGCAGGCTGAAAAGGTCATCGCTCATGCCGAGGATGAACTCCAGAAGCTAAAGGGCGAGTACGATCACGACCTTAAAACTCTCAGAGAAGACATCGAGAACGAACGACTGCGTCTCAATGCAAAGATGCAAAGAGCCTTAGCAGCTAAACGTCGTCGCGGCACCCCAAAGGGTAACAAGGAGAACGACGAATTGTCCGGCGAGATGACTGAACATGACAGTGAGAACACCTTACAAGAGGAGCTGGAGACTCAGCTGGAAGAGTTCACCGATACAGCTCTCGAGGAACTAAGAACGAAGCATTTCGAGCTACAGCAGAAAATGGAGGCTGAAAAGGCTCAATCAGCGATCGCTGTGGCTGTAGCAAATGCCCAATTGGCATACCTGGACGGGTTGGTAGGCAATGGACACAACCACCAAGTGACTTCTAAAGTGGCAGGTGTTGTGGAGGCAACGCGTACCCGAGTTGAGTTGACAGGAGAGCTGTTAGAAGCTCTAGCTAACCAAATTCCGGGGCAGATTGAGCAGCAGTTCCAGAGTGAATTTGACCAGCTGCACGTTGACTATGTCCAGGCGAGCGCTACTCGTCGTCAAGAGCTGGAAGCTGACGCTGCGATACGAAGAGCTAAGCTTATTGACACACTGAATCGTCGACGACGTGGGAACGAACCCAATTTGAGTGAGGAAAGGAGAAATCGCGAGTCTGCTGGCTCCATACCCGACTCACTTGACGAGAAGGAACGAACGGAATTGGCGAAGATTGATGAGCACTTGAAGGCTGCGATCGCAGCACTCGACGAGGATGCGAGGAAAGGAGGTGAGGCACTAGCTAAGGCGTTGGTTTCTACGCTCCACAGGTGCGGCAAAGAGGTGGAAGGGAAGATTCGTCAGTGTCGACAAGAGCACGAGGTAGCTGCAAGTTTACTAAGACCAGGAGATGATAAAGGCGCCAAGGAGCTAGCCAATACTGTGGGCAAAGCAGTGGACACACTGGAGCACGAGGCATCGGAGCGAGTGAAAGATGCGTCATATGCTCGAGAGGCGATCGAACACGAAATTGAACGTCTACAGGACGAGAGTTCAAGTGCGTTGGCAGCTCTCACAGTCGCGCTAGACGCTGAGAAACGTCGTCAGGAGCAGCGACTACAGCAACGCATGCAACAGCGTCGCCAGCAGCAGCAAACGCAGCTCCCAGTCGGTTCCTCTCCTGAAAAAGTGGCCGAAATGAACGCCGTTCTCGCTGAGCAAGAACTGGTGGAGAGACGAAAACTAGAAGATCAGTTGGAAAGTCAGGCTCAACTTGCGTTTATTGAGGAGCGTGGGAAACAGCGCGAACATGAAGACAGGCTGGCACAACAGCTTCATGACGCCACTGTTGCTGAAATCGCTGCCTCTGCGACGAACGAAGCGGTCGCGCAGGCTCGCAGCGAGTATTTGAATGCTGGAAGCGATGACGAACTGGCAACTTTGACGCGGATGTGGAGAACTCGACAGCCCTCGAAACCCTTGGCGAAAAGGGCATCAAAGATCATTCGGAAGCGCAGCATAGCGTCTCGGCCAACTGCTCTTGCTGCGTCAGCCTCAGTAGTAGAGAGTACCAGTGCTAGTGGTGCTAAACAGAATGTGGTGGCGGATACTATGGCTGCAGAAATGGAGCAACAGATCAAGACGCTGAGTGCGAATCACCTTCTTGCGTGGCAGCAACGGCAACAAGAGCTACAAGAAGAAGAAGCGCGGCGGAAGGCAGAACTCGAGAGTCGGCTGCGTCGAAAGCGCGATGCAAAGGTACATGCTGGCGACAAGAACGCGTTGGAGGAGGACGAAAAGCTTCAGCAACAACTCGTGACCGATGCAATCAAGCGAAAATTCGCGTTGGAGGCGGAGGTTGACGCAGACCTCGAGCTACTTGCTGCTGCAGTTCAGTCAGCGGGAGGCAAAATCACGACGGACATTGAGGCGCTACTAGCAGCCTGTCACTCGAATTTTGATACCGAGACAGCAGCACTACGTGATGCCCTTCGTGTTCAACGACAAGCACAAGAAGAAGCTCTTCGCCAGCGCTTAAAGCAGAGGCGTCGTGACAAACTCCAGGAGATTGAAATTGCAGGGAACAGCGCTGATGCTAATACTCTTGCAGCTTTGGAGAGCTCTTTAAAGGAAGAGAAGGCAACTGAGCTTCGCAGAATCGCTGAAAACGAGACGCAAGAGCTTAGTGCACTGCATGCACGACTCCGTGGCCAAGTTGGAGCAGCGTTCGCTGAAGCGGATCGCAAAGCTAAACGACGCTGTGACGACGCTAATTCCAGGTTAGCTTCAAGTGAAAAGGAGCTGGATGGGATCTTCCGAGAGCATGAAGAAGGGAGACGCGCGCTTCGTGAATCGCTTGGCATAGAACAACGCAGACAGCAAGACAAACTACTAGAAAGAATGGCAAGACGGCGGTCCGAAAGGCTCGCCGAACTGAAGCGAGAACGCCCGAGTGGTCCGTCGGAAGAATTAACGCAGCAAACTATGCAAGAGCTAAATAACGAGCATGAACGCGAACGCTTACGGCTGGAAGATGTAATCAACGATCAGACTAACAAGGCACTGCAGGAGCTAGACGACAAAGTGCGTGGAAAGGAGACAAGTTTACAGGTTGAGACTCGTCGGCTGCGAGCCGAGGCTGAAGCTGCCCAGGCAGCTCGTGAAGCGCTGGCACTGGCACATTGCGCTGAGGTCGAAAGAGTTACGCATGAGTTTTACGTATTTTTGGGCGGTGATGTCGATCTGAAGAAGCTAAAGACCCAGGATCGTCGTCGCAGAATCGAAGAGAGACTTGCGGCTAAACGCCCAAAGAAGATTACTTTATCCTTATCAAGCGAGGGCTCCGATGGTCCAGCAGGACAAGCGCAAGAGCTGCTGTCATCAGTTCTACAAGCTGAAACGCAGTCGGTTATGGTAGACGACTTGGAGAGCGAGTTACAGCGACTGCATGACGAATATGACCGCGATTGGGGAGCGTTGAAAGCCCGTCTTGATGACGAGACTCGGCTGCGCAAAGCTCAGCTAGCAGAACGACTGCAACGTAAGCGTCAGGCGGTACAAAACAACACGGCGTTGTCACCTGAAGAGAGACGAGTCGCAGAGACTGCCCTGGATCGAGCAGCGGAGCGGGAGAACATGGAAATCGACGCGTCCGCCGCAGTGGCAGCTCGGTCGCTCAGACTGGCAAGTCTCCAAGCTAAAGAGCAAGCAACAGACACATTGACAGCAACTTTTGCATCGAAAGGTGACGACTTGGATGCAGCACTGGAGGCGACTCGAAAGCAGCATGATGAGGCACAACGCAAGCTGCGAGAATCTCTTGAAATGGAGCGGCGTAAACAGGAGCAGCTGCTTCAAGAGAGACTTCGCCAACGCCGAGCTGCAAGAAAAGCGGAAACGGAGCCGATACCGACGCATGGCAGCGAAAAAGCCGAAGAAGAAGAGCTGGAACGTGAGCTGGAAGCGAAGCTTTGTGCGGAGGAAGCTCAAGCATGGACAGCACTGCGTGAGCGTGAGCAGCAGGAAGTCGAAGCCATATTGGGACCTCTTGACGCCGCGGCTGGCCACCGTCTTGATGACGCAGAGCTTGCAGAGCGGAGGGCGCGAGAGGAACTGGAACGTCTTGCTCTAGAACACGATCGACGCTTAGCAGAGCTGCGTGATAGTCTGGCTGCTGATAAGAAGCGCCAGCAGCTCGCACTGCGTGAGAAACTGCGTCGCAAACGTGATCAACGTCGAGCTGATGGCATCGCAGTGTCCGATGCTGAAGCAAGTGAAGAAGAACGTCGAGCTATGGAGGTCTTGGAAGCATCATTTGAGACGAACCTGGCGAGTGCAGAGGCGGAGGTACGCGAAATTCGTCGTGAAAAGGAAACAGAGTTGCTGGCACAAGTTTGTGCTTTATCGGCTAATAAGGCAGCGGAGGAGGCTGCTCTAATGCTGCTGGATGCCGCTCGTCTCGAAGCAGAGCGTGTGAGAGCGGAATATGAAGCAGCATTCACGTCAAGAGTACAGCGTTCGGCTGTGGCCGATGCTGTCAGTCGAGAAGAAATGGCCAAACGCCTGGCCGAACGAAAGAACCAGCGACGGCAGGACAGAGAGCAGCAAAGTCAGAAGGTTGCTACCACTTCAAAGCCGACTGAGGCGACAGCAGTAGAGCCGGAGGATGACGGATCTGTAGATCGAGAGATTGCACTCGTGCAACGAGCACATGCTCGAGGCGTGAAGTCTCGACGAGACCAGCTTGATGCGGAGACGGCTGCTCGAAAAGCAGCGTTAACGGCTCGTCTTGAGCATAAGCGACGTGCAGCACGAAAGGGAGACGAATCTGGGAAAACGGAGGCTGATATTGAGAAGGCTCTGCAGCTCGAAGAACAGCAGGAACTAGGGGCTATTGAACATGAGCGAGCAGTGAAGGAGAGGGAGCTAGACGTAGAAGCCGCGCAGGAGAAGGAACGTCTTGCCAACGCTCTACGTGAAGCACACGAGCGTGGAGCTGCAGACATCGAACGGCAGCTGGCTGCGTGTAAGCAAGCACACGATATTGAGTCGACTAAGCTAGATGAGACTTTGCGAGCTGAGCGTGCGCGGCAGGAGTTAGCGCTGAAGCAGAGACTGAACGCTAGAAGACAGCGGATTCGAGCAAGTGGAGGCAATGCTACCGACCAAGACAGCAGTGATGCAGAGACTGCAATTGAACAGGAAGCTGAAGTTGCCCAAGCTGAGCTGGCAGATCAAGAACGGGTTGCACGGCAGCAACTAGCTGAGCGACAGCAGCAGGAACTGTCTGTCGTGGCACGCCAACTTGAAAAAGAAGCTGAAGCTCAGCGGCGGGCTGCGCTCGACGTACAAGCGGCAGCAGAGCGTGAGCTCAAGAGACTGGAGGAAGAGCATTCACGTGAACGGCGCGCGCTGCAAGAGTTGTTGCTAGGTGATCAGCGCATGCGCGAGACACAGTTACGCGAAAAGCTGGCAAAGAAGAAGGCTGCACGACGAGCAAAGGGCTCGCACGATCGACAGGAAGAAGATGCTGAGGAAGCGGTCGCCATGGCAGCTCTGCAAGAAGAGATCATGCAAGAACAGGCAACAGTGGTAGCTCAAGAACGAGAAAGACAGGAGGCTGCAATGCGTTTAGCAGCTACACAGCTACAAGAAGCTGCAGCAGCCTCCGCAAAAGCCGCTGCAGCTTCGCGCCAGGCTCAAGAAGAGGCAGCACGCGTTGCAGCAGAGTTCGATCGCCATCGTGGAGATGCCCAGCAACTTCAGACTGCGGAGGCTGCACACTCGAAGCGCAAACTCGCTGATCGCTTAGCTGAGAAGAAGAACAAGCGCCATCTACAGCAACAGAAACATGAGAGCGATGGCGTCAGCGTTGCTGCTAAAAGCCTCGAAGACGAAGCCGTACGCTTACGACTCGAAGCCCAGATCGAATCCCAGCTCGCAGCATGTCGCGACGCTCACGACGCTGAAGCTGCAAAGCTACGGGAGTCACTGCAGGCTGAACGCGAACGTCAGGAACGCTCGCTACAGGATCGAATAGCTCGACGAAAAGAGAAGCGAATATCTCAGGCCACAGCTAAAGCTGACGTGAAGGTGGCAGAAGAAGCTGAACTAAAGCAGCAACAAGAAGAAGAGGCTGCGTTAGCTGCAGCTCTAGCAGCGCAAGAAAAAGAAGCTTGGGACGCCATCCAACGCAAACAGGAAGAAGCTGTCCGTGCTCTTCAAGAGCGAAAACAGCAACAAGAGCGTGAACGAGCCGAGCTTCAACAACAAGTGGCTCAACAGGAGATGAACCGCTTACAAGAAGAGCATGAACGTGAGCTCCGTGCTCTGACGGCATCTCTGGCCCAAGAGCAAACGAGACAAGAAGAAAAATTACAGCAACGCATTGCTCAACGGCGTGCAAGGAAGCAACGCCAAGAAGAGGAGGCCAGTGCTAAAGCACAGCAGCATAGTGCTGATGCTGAAGAAGAGGCTCGACTTGTTGCGGAGCGTGAGAAGGCTGAAGCGTTGGCTCAAGCTCAAGCTCAAGCAGAAATTGAAGCTGAGGAAAGAGAGCGACAGGAGATAGCTGCAGGTTTGGCACGGAAGCTGGAAGAGGAACGAGCTCGACAGAGACGCGAGAAGGAGAAGTTGGAGGCAAGACTGGCCCGGGAAGCTGAGGCACAAGCTGCAAAGCGAGCAGCAGCTCTGGCTCTACAGCTTCAACAGCAAGCGATTGAGACTGCAGACAAAATGGCTCACGAGTTCAACACAAACTTGCGTGAGCTACGAGAGACGCATAGTGCCGATGGAGTCGCACAGAAGGCGCGACTGGAGTCTCGGATCGCAGCCAAGAAAGCTCGGAAGCTGCGTGAGCTCGAGGAAAAGCGCGAGCTTGAGCGTCAACGTCTACATGCCAGACAGCAGCAGGAGGCTGAAGACTCTGTTAAGGCTGAAAAGGAGCGCGAAGAAGCACTAGCTGAGGCAGCACAACAGGCGGCAATCCCAGCGACAGAAACGATTGATAATTACCAACCTGTGCTATCTCCGGCGGATGAAAAGGCTGAAGCAGATCGCCAGCAACAGCAAGATGTGGCAGCTGTGCAGCAGCTCTTCATGTACGGACTCGTGCCAGCGAAGCTTTCTCTTCTTGGAGCGATCGAGTTGGTTGTTGGTGCTCGACACGAACGAGAGCTGGCCACACGGCTGGCTGCACTTGCGATTAAAAGCCTCGACCTTGTACGACAAGCTCTTCATGCCGTGACTCAGCAGAAAGCAGCACGCAAAGCACAAGCTCTTCAGGAAATCTCAAGTCGCAGTGGTGACGCTGCGGAGATTGAGAGTGTGCTAGCTCAAATCGACTCCGAGTTTGCTGATAAATTGCGAGAAGCAGAACACGCAGCTACGAATAAAAGCGAAGAGACGAAGCATGAGGCCGAAAAACGTCTCAAAGAGCGACAGATGCGCGAAGTGGCTTACCTATTGGCTCATTTCGACGCACAACACACGGCAGCGCTTGCTAATGTGTCTGCCGCTGCTGCACAGACCCAACCTGCTCAACAGCAACAGCCCCAGCAACCGTCACTGACTGCAGCACAGCGTGAGGCTGAAGATCTTGTCAATGAACTTCGAGCTCGACTAGAGCTTGAGGCTCATGAACGTCGTCGAGAACTAGAAGCAGAGAAGCGATTGGAGCTACAACATCTAGCTAAGGAAGAGCAAGATCAACTGGCTCAAGTTGAAACACGCTTAGCAGCGTTACTCGCAGAAGAATGCGCTGCAATGACGCGATTGTTGACCTCAAGACTTCAAACTTTGCCTGCTGGGGCAGCGAAACAACGCGACGCTGCAGAACGAGAGCACGCGAAACAACTCCAGCGTTTGACGCTGATGCTTGAAGGACGCGGGAAACAGCAGAAAGACCGCGTGCGAGCTCGAACTGCGCAGCAAAAAGCTCTGATAGAAGACGAATTCCGCCGTAAGGCTCAGATCATCCTCGCTGTTATGAACCAGAGAATCGTACAGGAGAAGATGAGGCTACATCAGAAGCAGAAGCTTCTCGAGATATCCCCAATAAAGACACAATCAAGTGACGATCAAGACTCAGATCCCTCTCAATCTCAAGCTATACTGACTGATGAACTGGCAAAGCGCCTTGAAGACGTATTAGAAGAGCGTTTGACGAAGATTGAAGCTCTGGTAGCAGAATTCAAGCACAGTGTCCAGGAACTCCCATCTTCACAAGAGAGCCCTATCTTGAAAGAGGCCAACGTTGGAGAAGATGATCGAAGTTATGCCGCCTATCGGCTCGCCGTTGCTGAAGCCGTGGCGACCGGATGTCGCTACGAGAAGCGGCAAATTCAAGATGATAAGCAGGCGTTCTTGGATTCATCTGCGTTTGGAGTTCTGGACGCAAACGCTGTGGACGTGTCGAAGCTTGCGCAAGTCTCGGAGAAGAAACTGGATGAACGAATGCAAATGCGACGAGATTTTGCGGCGCTGTTGCTTAAAGCTGTGGCAGGAAGAGAAGAACCTGCTGCGGAGTTAACGTTCGTTGAGCACTTTGGACGTGAGAACAATGGTAGAGCCAACTATGCGAGCTTTTCACTACAGAAGAAGGGACACGATAAGGACACGCTCTATCTGTCGCTTGCTGCACTGCGAGAACTGTCTACGGGACAGTTGGCTGTTACGATACTGCATGCGCTGGCTCAGGCTCACGCAAACTCGAGCGACTTGACCGACCCACAGTTCATCTCGCACCTGTATAACCTGCTTGTACGCTGCTACCAAGGACTCTTCACGCATGTCCAACAGCAACAAAGGGCTACGTCAGTAGCAACAACTTCAGTTCCAACTGAAGCATCACGAAAAAGCATCAGCTCTGGTAGCGAATCAGGCAAGACTGTCGATCTCAGTGCCACCGACGGTGGTGGACAGTGGCAAGCACGACTACGAGAAATGGAAGGCTTCTTGGACGGTCAGCAGGCTGCCATCCAGCGGTCACAAAGTAGCCAGCTGCAATTGTTACCGAAACACCGAGGAGGAGACAACGCTGGAGAAGGCTCGGTCAGTACGAACTCCGACTTGTGGCAACAGGAACCGATTCAGCTCTTGCAGGAGAAGTTGGACACGGCCGAGAAGCTGTATCTGCAGGTCTTGCGCCAGCACGAACAGCATATGCAGACGGTTGAGTACTGGCAGGATTTATTAGCCGAGCAACGAGATGCCGAATACGAGGAGGACGCCTTCGATGAAGAGGACGAGGAGGAAAATGAAAAACCTCGCAAGGAAGATCCAGACGCGCCTGAGCGGCAACAACAGCGCGAGGCTCGGGCGCAAGAAGCTCAACGTGAGCTGGATCGAGCCTCGCATACACTGGAAGCCACACGCAAGGAGCGAGATGAGCTGTTCACGCAGTGCCAACAGCTTCGCGACCAGCTCAACATGCTCCGTTAAGAATGCATGTCAACTTCAACTTGATTCCCTAGTTTGAGAGAAAGCATAATTATCCAATCACATTGTTTTATTGAATATAACCAATCATCGAAAGAATCGTGGTGTACAGCGCACGCCGAGAAGGCGGTCACACTTCCAAGCGACGAGCGAGATCCGAGTGCTGCAGGTGCGCGCTCATCAGCAAGATGAGGAGTCTGCAGCATCGAAGAAACCTTCGACTTCGACAAGGATGTAGCCAATGAAAGATCTGACCTTCACTCCTGCTTTATCACCCCGCATAGATCAGTCGGCATCGGACGGCGGAGCTATGGCCAAGGAACGGATCAGCTCGGAGGAGCTGGCTCAGCGCAAGGAAGAGTATTATGGTGGGCAGTAGCGCGAATACGATTACTCTGTACAAGAGCGGCTTGGACTGACCAGGGACCTCTACGTCTCTCTCTATGCGCTCAGAACTGCTGGCCACAAGCGACAGCTCACTCCAAGATGTGCTGAATCAGAGGGGCGGACTGGTACTCGCTCGTGTCGGACGCTACCAGCCCTGGCCAGCCAGGGTACGCATTCATCCCTCGTATCTTGTGGGGGGTCTAGTGATTGACAGGTCCTTAAATGCTCCTTTGCCTTCAGTTTAGCGAACCCGGGGAGTTTGCCAAAATGGCAAGATATCGAGCCAAGAAAGGCCAAGCATGTGTCTACTTTTTTGGTAGCAGGAACTAGTACGTGTCATCTACAGAATGAAGAGTTGAGAGCGCGACGCTGACTAACGCGGTAAATTCTTGACGTTCTCACAGCGGATGGGTCTCGAAATCGTCCATTCAGCCTTTTCCAGAAGACCTGACGACACTTACAGCGTCGAATAAATACAACCAGCAGCACATCCAAGAAGCGCTGGACGAAGCCAAGCTCGTAATGGACGTGACGGACGAGACGGGCAAGCGCTTCTTCGACCGCATGTGCGCTGACACACTCTCCGTGGAGACTCCGTGGAGATTCTGCTCACATGTTTTTGATTTTGCTAACAGTATGGAGCGCAGGGAGGAGGCAGTAGATCTGCCCTGTGAACGCTGCAACCGCGTGGACGACCACTACTCGCTTCTGATCTTATGTGACGGCAAAAACTGCAAGCGGGAGTATCACATGAACTGTTTGAGCCCTCCGTTGGTGTCGGTCCCACCCGGAGAATGGTTTTGCCCAGACTGCCAGAAGGAACGTGAAAAAGAGCGCGAAAAGGAGCTGCAAAAACGTGCAAAGGCGGAAGCGATGGACAGTCAAGACTCTAGTGTTACAGCTGTGAATGGACTCGATGGCACGTTGCCGTTAGCGAAGACTCCGTCCACAAAGAAGACGAAGAAGCACAAACACAACGCCAGAGATGGGATCGTGAAGCGTCGACTGTCTTCTGTTTCTCCAGATAGATCTGCTGGAGCAGTCAAAAAGCCTCGAGGTCATCGATCGTCGTCAAGAGAAGTCTCACCCCCGCCTGGAAAAGAGCCACCCATGCCCAAAAAGCTGGACGGAAGGAAGAAAAAGCCTTCTCAGCTCTCGATGCCAAGTAGCAGAGCACAGCTCCTGTCCGATCCGGATACCGGTACAGCCGACGACGAGCAGAGATCGGAGGAGAAGTGTTTGCTGTGTGGCTTTGGAGGGGAGCTGATTGTGTGTGAATTCGCTGGGTGCACGAAGGTCTACCACCAGTTCTGTCTGGGTGCCTATCCGTTCCCAAAGGATGAAGATGCCACGTGGTATTGCCCTCGACACGTATGTGCGCTGACAGGAGAGAAAGAGACGGGTGAAGATGGTGAAAAATCGACGACAACGCTGAAACAAGCGTCTCCGCGGAAGCCCAACGTCAAAAACTTGCTGTGGAAGTGCAATCAGTGCCCACTTGCCATCTCAGATGCAGCGCTGCCGCAGGTAATTAGCTTTCCCACTTGTTTATTGGGATTGATCCTGACATAACAATGTTGTGTTCGTATCGCTAGCTACCACAAGGGCAGCTTCTATCCAAGAAGTCACGGACATTTCTGTGCTCCAATTGCTACCTCAACGCGCCGTCTAAAGTCCAACTTTCCAAACGACTGGAAAAGATCTGGTCGACGCTAGCCACAAACCGACAAGGAATGCCGTTTTGTGGTCCGCTGTTGTGTGGCGTTGAGCCGATTGACGGCCTGTCGGAGGGATGTCGGACACAGTTGGATCTATTCAAGGTGCTTGCGCGAATTCGTCGCTTGGAATATGAGGAATCTGCAGCCTTTTCAAGAGATATCGACGAGATTGTGGCTAATGCTATCGATCTCATCGCTAACCGCTCGTTCCCACTGATGGAAGCGGCCAAAACGCTGAAGATAATTCGCAACGAGCAGTTTGCGATCCATCAGCAGAAGCTGAACTTCTTGAACAGTAAAATTCGCCGTGTACAGGCTGATCGCGAGAGTGGGCAGGACAACGAAGACGAACTGGCCACGAAGCGGTGGCCGCTTCGCTGGCGACAGGAGTGTGGTCCTTTCGAAGATAAATACTATCCCCGTTTGGAATCAAAGTCACTAGATGAGTGGACAGCGCTGGTGTCTGCGGCACCTTTATATGCCAGCGCCGATGAGTTTGACGGCCGTAGTGTCGGCGGAGCTTATATGAGTGACGAGCTGAGCGCAAATGAAGATCTACCACAGCGACAATTCGAGGCGACGCGCAGCAGAAGCCCGTCATTAGGCTCCGCGAATGAGTTGTCCGACGCTCCAGCTGCAGCACGGACGGAGTTGGGCCTTACGTTATCGGAAGGAACGGATGTGATCATGGCTCTGGATGGTCTGTCTAAGCCAGGCGCTGGCATCCAGAAACGGAGATTCGGAGGCGAGCAAACGAAAGAGCTGGACAGTATGGATGCTCGAGAGTTCTTCCTTTCTCCATCTACCAGCGAGATGCAGCACATGTTCGACCAGCAGTCCACTCTTCTGCGTAGCGCGCTAGAAGCGCACTCTACCTTGCAGCGATCGTGGCTCATCAGTCAACAGGACATGCTCGGTCTAGGTGGAAGTGGTGGGTTTTCTGTGGGTGAAGGTCGACTTGCCGCTGAACTTCGACTGGCTAACAAGGTAGCGTCCACGTGTGTAGAGTTGTGTTGGTATCTTGACTTACATGCTGTTTGTGACGACTAGAATTTGAGACAGCGACTGCGAAACAAGGACAAACTAGTTGATCAACTAACATCGGATCACATAGCGCTGCGAGCTGAGGTCATCAATCTACAGAGAGAACTCTCGCAAAGCAAGGTGAGACGCACTAGTTGGCGCGAACGATGTGATGTTCTTATAACAGCTCCCTTCTTGCCGGTAGTCCCATGCTCGCGAACTGGAAGATCGTATTGCTGTTGTCCAAGGAGCCATTGAAGGGCGACTCGTACCTCGCCCCGACAATCACGATCCTGTCTCGAATGGAGATGCTGCTGTCCCGCGAGATGTCGCTGCTACGCCAGATCAAAGCACGGGCGAAGAGCATATATTCTAGCTGACTCAATGTCAACTACGTCGATATATTACTGCCGGGGCCGTAGCGTCTGAGGTTTCCACATCGATGAGACTGAAACGCAGTAACCCGACCCAACCACGTAAATGTGCAATCATGTGAACAGCAAAAATGTACGACACGATCGCAGTAGCGCGGTGGTCTTTTGCTGTCATTTAAGAAATGCTCTATAGTGTGCAGCCTGCTGCGAATAGGAGAGAACAAACATCTCGGCGACATCACAGAGTCTCCGTGTAGCCAAATACAAGCTCGTGCTCTGTTGCGGATGCCGTCACATTCCACATTCCTGACGAATAAATTGTTGGTTCTGTCAGCGGCATCAGAAGGAGAGAGAACCCATAAATGCCAAAGAAGTAAGCCCCGAGAAGTACTGTCAGCGGAAAACACCACACAAGATTAGCAGTTGTTTAGTTGCGAGCGGTAACGAGTTTACGTACCTAATCGATAAGGATGCAATGAGCTTTCGGGGTTGAAAAACGAGAGGTCTGGGAACCCCATGATGTTGCAGAATACGTGCACGAGAAATGTTGACGCAAAGTGTCCTACGAGGAAAGGAATACAGCAGTTAGAACGTGCTGTCAGCTCGAGGAAGAAAGAAAGCTGGTCTCAACCTGTTCTCAGGAAAATGAAGGTAGCGTAGGCTCCAAACAAGGAGGTGTACAGGAGCTGGAAGCCTGGACCAAATTTTACGTTAGAACATCAGACTCAATCTAGCTCGTAGGGCATCACGTACCAACTGTCAACGCTGCGTCCTTCGGAGACCGTCCGTGTCTCACGTACTCCATGAAGTGGTGTAAGTGGGCTAACGACACAAGCAGGCGTACAAAATCCTTAGATTCAGCTCCCACACGCCATAAAAGTCGCTTCATTGACGCACCTGCTCCAAACATCAGCGGACTGCCTAACACGATTTGCTTGACAGTGAACTCAGCGCACACGAGTAGCGGAGCCATGCAGCTCCGGAACACGAACTCTTCGGTCAGCGGGCCCTGTTGACGAAGCCAGCCATACAGTTAGCATTTTTAGCCACAACTCCTCAATTACCCCAGCTACATACCAATACGTAAGTGCGCAGCGATGGCAGTCGGTCATGCGTGATGGAGTAATACAGCGCTGAGTTCTTGATGGCGAACCACAACCCGTTCGAGTGGAACTGCTTCGACACGTTAAGCAGCCGCAATGCGTTGGCCAGCAACGAGCCTGTGAACAGCACAGCCGTCACAAATAGCGGGATCACGACAGCTTGCACTAAGCCGTCCCATCGGATACCAAGCCACTGCGCGAACGACATGCTAGTTTCATCCTGCAGCACGCAACCACAGCGTATTGTTAATCCTTCGCCTCTAAGCAGTAGAATCAATTCTTCTGCATACATGGTCATAAAATACTGCTAGAACAAACGGGCAGATGGCGCAAAAGATGCAGATGAGCAGGAAGCGCGCTAGGATCTACAGTAAAGGACACAGCGGCGAGAGTCAGAGACTGATAACTTCGTTGCAACGACATCAATACTGCAGGACGGACGTGGGTGGGGTGATCACGTGGAAGCCGTCGGATCGTGTGGGGCAGCGTGTACAGCACACCGACGTAGGCTGCAGCCATGCAGGAGCACGCGATGATGGCCGTCGTGGCAGTCACGCTGAATCGCATCTTTACGTCGAGTGTGACGCTGCGGATGAGACTTTGGTGAATAAAGTGGCAAATTGTGATTGGCTATTTACTCGACGAATGAAAAAAACGTTAATTTGTGTGCAGGTGGTGTGCCTTAAAAAAGAACCCAACACTTCCAACCAATTTCTGACAAGCTACCTTAAAGATGGCGGATACTTACATGACGGAGCCCGAGGAGACGGAGATTGAAGTCATCACGGCCGACGAGACCACGCAGGAGTTCGACATTGGAGAGGCGCCGCAAGGTGATAAACAACAGAGAGATAGAAGCGCTGTGGGGTCAGCGACACTGACGAACACCTTTTTGGCTTAGATGACGACGACGACGCCATGGAGGACGACGACAATGAGGGAAAGATTTCTGCAGAAGATGCCGACGTTCGCGATGATGCTGAGATGGTAGGAGTATTTGTGGTGGGAAATATGTGAAATGAGACTGCTAACGTGATGGCTACATGTAATGCAGGTCTTCAACAAGCATTCGGGCTCAGTGTACTCGATCAAGGTGAACCCGGTGGATCCACGCATTGTCATCACAGGCGGAGGCGATGACGTTGGTGTTATTTGGAACCGTGAGGACGGTAATGTGCTGTACACGCTGTCCGGCCACCAAGACTCGGTGGTAGGCGTCGACTTCAGCTTCGACGGCAAGTACGCGGCCACTGGCGGCTACGACGGCGTGGTCAAAGTTTGGGAAGTTGCCACGGGAAACTTGGTACAAAGCTTGGAGGGTCCTTCGCAGGAGGTTGAGTGGGTTTGCTGGCACAAGAAGGGCAACGTGGTGTTGGCTGGATCAGGCGACGGTACCGTCTGGATGTGGCTCGCGACGACTGGAGAGTGCATGCATGTGTTTGCTGGACACGAGGATGGTGTTACGTGTGGATCGTTTACAGGATCCGGAAAGGTATACGGCTGTTATGATCCAATGATGGCATTCATCTGGAGAGTGCTGATCCTTTCGTATTGCAGATGATTGTGACCGGTAGCACGGATGGAACTGTTCGCGTGTGGAACCCGAAGACTGGCGAATGCAACCACGTATTCCGCGGGTACGCTAATGCGCTCGACTATTTAAAAGCTGGATGAGTTTCTAACTAGGCGTTCTAAACAGACACGGCTTCCATGAAGGCTCAGTGACATTCGTCACCAGTCACCCAAGCGTACGTTGAGAAAAAAAATGGCTATGGCGTACGACTGACTGTGAGTGATGTTCATCATAGCAACCGCTGGCGCTCTCTGGCTCGCAAGATGGCACCGCTCGTCTCATTCAAGTGCAGACGAAGCGTGTGCTCGCTACCCTTTCGCACGATGGTGTAGACCCAAGTGTCGCTGGAACTGTCAATGATACCACGACTTCAACGGAGAATTCGGTGGAGTGGTGCGTTGAGCCTTATCACAATTATTTGGCGGTACCTTGTTGTGTACTGACATCCCATGCGTGTTCGATTACAGCGGAGGGTTCTGTAACACAATGAACTGGGCCGCAACGGGCTGTCTTGGTGGATACCTGCGCATCTGGGACTTGACGACGAACCAGGTAACCGAAGTGTCATGGCTTACATGTATCTTACGCGTGAATACTGATAACCTTCTTCGTCATTTATGCAGTGCCGCCATGTTTGCCGTCACCCCGCTGGCGTTATCAAGCTTCTGTGGCACCCGACGCAGCCAATCGTGTATTCGTGCACGGTGGAAGGTCTGCTTTACGTTTGGGATGCCCGGACAGGACAACTCCAAAAGACGCTGGCTGGCCACACGGATATGGTGCTCGACATGGCTTTCATCCCTGCCTTCGAAGGCAGCCCGATCGCAGGACTTCTTACGGCCAGTGACGACGAGTCTGTGCGGCTCTTTCAGGTGGATAACTAGGCAACAGTGTTACTTCAAACACGCGATCGTTTTGCTTGATCATTTCCGCCCCACATAGACCGCTGCTACACCGAGTGAAAGGCTCAAACAACTGTGTATGAATTGCATATATTGCAGATCTCTACTACGCGAATGTGAAACTAACCGTGCGCTCGATTTCATCGACGTGGGGTTACGCCTCATACAATCTGCAATAAGCAACAACAAAAGCATCATTAGAACCTTTGGTCAAGAAGCCACACAATAATCTCAGCACCAAACGTACACTTCGTTCTGGAAACTGGATCCACTGGCCGCAGCGTCAGCATGCGACTGATACTTGAGCGTCTCGTTCTTGCCAAGGTCAACAAGAGCTTGGCGAAAGCCCCGGCCAATGGCCTTCTGGCGGTCCTCGGCATTGGCTGTTGCACTCCAGATGGCGATGCGGTCCTGCGCCTTGCGTACACTAACTACAGCGCCGCAGATGTCGTCCTCATCCTGCAGCGTCTCGCCAATCAGCGAGAGCATCTACAAAGGTCACACCCATATCGCCACATTAGTCTCAATGTACCTGGACAAAAAGCCATCGCCATCAGCCAGAAACGCACCACGTAGAGCCAGCACTCATCTAGTCGTGCTTTTCGGGAGCGGGGGTTAGTGAAAATCCACTTGCCCCCCTTGGCGTTGATCGGGTCCTCCCACATGGGTCGAATGCCCTCCTTAAACAAGTGGTAGTTGCTGCCAATCGAGAGCTTCGTGGGTGCCAAGATGTTGTTGTACAGGCTGCACCAAAAGCAATAGCATCACACCCAGTCAGCATCCAGTCTAGCAAACGTCTTCAGCACTTTCGCTATTCGCCACATACCACCAAAAGTCCTCCACCGTGTTAAACGTGTAGACGTTCTTCAGGTTTTCCTCCCAGGACTCGGTTGAGTGACGCTTCTTCGGGTTGTCGTACCACAACACCCATCGATTCTGCAGTGGATGCTGCTCACATTAACAAAAAACATCGTCAGATACATAGCCTCTTGTCTGCAGCATCTCAATTTATTGCCTGCAAGTCACCTTCGTGGCTACTTCGTTCACAGTGGCCGGGACAGCGACCGTCGTGTCGTTCTTCTCCTCCTCCACTGGCTGCTGAGGCTCCTTCACGTTCTTCTGCTCGCTCATATTGCTGCTGTGCTGTATGTGTAGACTAGTAGATAGGTAGTTGAGTAGCGGATGCCTTTGCTGCTGCGATTCGTGCTGCTGCGTGCCTGGTGTCAAGAGCTCTCGGGGCTATTGACCTCCTCTGATGGTGATTGTTGATGAGCTCTCCCTCGCCGGTGTTTTGGTTGGCTCAAAAAGGGATGCTAGTACCGAGTAAATCTTTATATAAGAAACTATCACATAAGACACAACCAATCAGAATTAAGTGAGTATTTTACTTGGTTTTTGTAAGTCTGGAAGTTTCCCTTTTGCTTCAACAACCGATATCCGCATTCCGCACTCGACGCCCGCAACTGGTCGCCGCTATGCCGAGTGAGTATGAGGACAAATATCTGCTACTGCGGGACGAGAACACAGCACTCAAGAAGAAGAAAAATGAGCAGGAAGCTACCATCAAGTGCATGTACACCAAGCTGGCGATGATCGAGGAGAAGCTCTCTAAGACACGGCAGAGCGAGGGCAAAAAGAATAACCAAGATGATCCTGAGACCGGAGGCAACACTGTGACCGTTGTCCCTGTGCGACGAGATCTCGACACGGAAAAATTCATCGCTGCGTTGAAGAACGAGAACACCACGCTAAGGAAAAAGAATCAGGTGCTGATGGAGAAAAACCGGTGGTTGGCAGAGCAGTGTCGACAGTCAAATGCCGTGAAGCGACTAGGAAATAAAGCACACCCGTCAACACAAAAGCGACCAGTCGTACGGAAGCCAGCCGCTAACAGGGGAGGCTTCGATGGGAATCTCCTTGAAAAACAGACTGAAAGTGCACGGAAACTACACCGTGATACCTTTTCAGGGGATCTAGAGGTAGCGCTGAAGAAACGACTTGTAATTGCGGAGAAGCAACTCATGAAATTACAGAAAGAGAACGAGCAGCTACGCGCGAGTAACAGTGGCAATCGACTTCAGCTGAAACCGAGACGAGATAACAACGACGGGATTGGGCTTAGTGATGAAGGAGATGAAAAGGAACAAGACGAGATCGACAAAGAACCCGCGAACTTGGAACTCGACCAGATGAAGAGGGAGTTGCGGGATCGCCAAGCGCAACTCGCCATTCTCAATGCTAGATACGAAAACTTAGAGTCAAACGCACTGGCAGAACGTGATATTCAGGAGAAGACGCTAGGACAAATGGAGCACTTGAATCGCCAAGTACACAAACTCAGAACGCAATTACAGGACGCTAATATGGAAAAGGAAGAGCTGGAAATTCGAATTATGAAAGCTGGCGAGCATGAAAAGGAAATTGCAGCTTTGCGGGAGCAGAATCGCCGCTTGGAAGAACGCATGACCTCACTTTGTGAAAGTCCGTTTATCAACGATGCTTTCCAGCGCAAGGAGCGCATTGACAAGCTTTTTGCCTTAGAAAAACTAACGCAGGAACAGAAGGCGACGATTACGGACATGTCTGAAGAAAACCAGAAGCTCCAAACGGTCATTCGAGAGCTACAAAGCACTATTAAACAGTTGAAGCAGGCGAAAGATCGAATCGAGCAGGATCTTGCGCAAATGGCGCATCATTTGATGGAGGAGAGAAATGCAAGAAGTCTTGACTCCATCAAATCATCAACCGGAAACGTAACAGGTCCAACACTGCGGCCGGACCCGATCGTGATTGTCCGCCCGCGTACACCTGAGCCACATCGCCAACCTCCAGAGAAACGGGACGCTTGCTCTTCCCCGGTGAACAGAAACGCATCACCCGGCAAAAAAACTGCATCTTCGGTGAACGTGTATGTCATCTTTACTTTCTCTTGCTGCATATGTTTTTGCTTGATCAGCACTAACGTTGTCTTGTGTGTGACGTCTGCTTAATGCAGGGGTGGAGGAGTCGTAAGTCGACAGTACGGAGACCTACCTTCAGCGGCTGGTTTTCTCGATACAGAAGAGGAAAACAGCGTGAAGCATTTGCGAAATCGCGTTCACGTCCTTCAGATCGCTCACTTGAAGTCAATGCAGGAGCTGGAACGTTGTGAAAAGATGCTGCAAGCTCAAACGAATATTAATCGTGAGCTCGCCTTGGAGATCGAGGAGTTGACCACGTCTAAGATTTCAAGCTCAAATCAACTCCAACGTCGAATGAAAGAGCTTGAACTACTATGTGAAGAGCGACAGCAACGAATTAATGCCCTTCAAGCAGAAGTGAGACAGTTAAAATACGCTCGAGAAAAAATGCTGCTGAAGATGAGGGAGGCTGACGATGAAAGCTCTGGGGAATCAAGCGATGAGGAAGAGAGCGAAGTGGCGTCCTTGTCAGAATCATTAGTCTTAGCCGCAAGAGATCTGGCTCCAGGTGAACAGCTTCTTGAATTGGGGATTATAAGTGGAGACTTCGATAGTAGTGTGGTAGGGATTAATTCCTCCACTTTTGTACTGTGTGATTTCTACGATTTCGAATCGCAGTCCACGCCACTTATCATGGGAAGCCGACCGGAGTACAATTTGTCAGCTACGTTCAAAGTAACGGTGGATGGCTTTTTCTTACGATATTTGGCCTCCGAGTCCGTCGTATTGGAAGTACATCAAGCTATCCGAGGGGACTTTAAGCTGATTGGCAAAGCATCAGTCCGTCTTTCGAAGTTGCTGCAGTCAAAGGGGGTTGTGAAAGAATCCAAACTTTTTGTAAAATCGATGTGTAGCGTGGATGGTGGCTCGACAACTATCGGAACGTTGAACGTCATTCTCAGGCTTTCCACCCCAATCTCGGAAATTTGGCAAGTTCACCTTCGCTCGTACCCCCAAGATATCCAGTTACTGTCGAAGTCAGGGAAACGAAGCGAGCTTCAAGTGCCATCAGATGTACTGTGCGATCAAGACTTCCGTGACGATCCAATCACAAACGAGTTGCAGATTACTGTATTTGCTTGCAGGAAGTTGCGCTCTTATGGAAAGCGTTCCGGTGGCTCAATATCGCGAATCCCATCCTCGTACGCACACTATCAGTTGCTGGGATTCCCGGACGTTTTCACCAATATCGTGTCTGACTCAGCGAGCCCAGAGTATGACCTTAGTAGCAGCCGACAAGCATTCAACTTAGAAGTGGATGCATGTCTTCTTCGGTTCTTGTCCCAATTCCGCTTCTGGATAACTGTGTTTGACGATCAAATCGAGCTCGATGATAACATACAAGAAGACGGAATGATTGGGAGGTGTGGAATCATGCTATCAGATCTTGTAAATGGCGAAACTATTCGTGGGTGGTTTCCATTGAAAGGTCAAAACGATCAACACGCCGGCGACATTTCTGTATTGATTCAGTGGAAAGACCCGTTCCAAGTACTGCAACTGACTTCTTCTCAACGAGCACGTGGAGTAAATGGACGTCCGATTGATATGCATACACTTGATTTCGATCAGCAACACGCTTTGTTATCGATGTTTTCTGTCGACATGGATGGACGCGTTAATTACCAGCAGTTCCTACATTACGCTACTCCGTCAGAAGAACTGGAACTGCTTGTTGCGAAAATGAAAGAGCGGCTCGAATACGCAGTGGATTCGGAGCTGATAATCTCTGTTAAAGATGCTTTCACAGCCGAAATTGATGCCAGGGAGCGAAAGAGTATGCTGGTCTCTGTCAACACCATGACGCAAACTGCAGAAAAGTACGGAATATTCCTCTCAGATGCGGAACGAGATCTTTTACTGTTTACTTTTGGAGTGGCTACAGAAAGTAGCTCAAGAGTGGGTGGAAGTGCTGCAAAGTCTTCGGGAGACAACCAGAAATTCATAGCTATGAATTACTTGCTACTCCATATAAGTTCTCGCCTTAGCTGTACCGAGCGGCTACTGTGCCACAAAATCCGACAAACGATGCACGCGTACGTTCAAGAGCAAAGGAAGCGAAAGGCAACGGACACGATGCCTGCACCTAAGCTGTTTGAGAAGTTTGATGATTCGAAGTGTGGCAGAGTCACCCGGTCAGCGTTCAGAAAATGTTTGTCTGCGCTGGGATTCGATTTGATGAATGTTGAGTCGGAGTACCGTGAGCTGGTCAGGCATCACACGAAGCAATCCAGCTCAAATGACCCCCCAACCAATTCGATCGACAGCGATATAACAACCCCTCATCAAGTTCACATTGATCTGGACGAAGACGTCCTAGAGGATGCAAGAGCTAAGCAGCTACCGAAGCAACGGGCTACTTTTAACGATGACTCAAGACAGAAGAGCCCCAAGGTATCGACACAAAGTCAGCCAGAGTATACTGCAATAGCTGTTCCTGCAACAACAGAATTCCAGCGACGGAAGCAAGCTTTTATGGATCGAATGAAAGCAATTGCCTCCGCAAGCAGTAAGAACTTGGTGTACGAACAGGTGGAGAAAAGGTTACAGGATCAACGGGTGCAAGCAAAAGAACAAGGGTTCAAAGTATTGTCGCAACGGGAGCGCCTCGAGCAGCAACTAAAGCAACTCCACATTCCGCAAAATATCCACCATGACGCTGCACGGACGCTTCAAAGACAATATCGCCAGTATAAAGAGCAGCGACAACAGCAGCGGGAAGCGAACTATGCGAAGACTACAATCATGGAAGCAGATCTTCAGCTACAAAGCATTTTGAGAAAATGGACGTTTGCCGACCTAAGAGAGCAAGAAGACAGTATTCTGGATGAAATTGAGCGTGACGTTCCTGTAGCAAAGCGAGCCAAGTTGCTTACGAAGAAGCAGCTGGGCTTTTTTCTTTCAAAGACACCACGAATCGTGCTGCCTCCTGCACTGCTATGGCAGCTTATGGACTACTTTTCTGTGAAGGAAACTGGGATGGTAGCGTATCGATCGTTTCTCAACTTCATTTTCTCGACGTCTACTGAAGAAAGTAAGCGGGAAAAGAAGCAGCGTCTGTCCGTGCTTCGGCGACTTCTCTTTGATGTTGGATACGCATCTCACATCTTTGTTTCGGCTGGTGACATGAAAGCATCGGGATGTATATCTTTTAAGAAGTTTCACCAGTGCCTGTCAAGACTTGGTGTTCAGCTGTCTCCCAAGGAGTTGCATCTTGTAACCATTATGTTTGACGCAAATGGCTACGAGATACTCTACCATGCTCTTCTCCACGCTCTGACACAATTGCCACACTGTCAGCAATTATCTGCAGCCTTGGAACGATGCCATCGCTTTGGAATATCTGCGCTACGTGATAAGATTTTGATTTTTGTGAACTCTGACGATGGCCGAATGACCCAGGAAGAACTGCTGCGTGTTCTAATGCAACAAACTTCTGAGGGTACACAATTTGATTCGACAGACGCTAGCTTGCTCTTCGAGATGATCGGAGGGAACAAGGAAGTAACGCAGCGGATTTCAATCCAGGATCTATGTCTACGACTCGAAGCTGCAACAAAATACAGTCGAAAGTCGATGCATGACGAATGGAACAAGTACGATTTGCATTACCTGCAGCGATTAGCCTGGAACTGCAGGAAGCTCATTTGTGGAAGCTACTTTGATTTGAAGTTCGAGTTTGAAAGATTTGACTGGCAGGAGAAGGGGTTCGTCTCTTTGGTGGAGTTTATCACAATTGCACGTCGACAGGGATTCTTATTGCTCACGGAAACCCAATTGAAAGGCGTAGCGAAGAGCTTCGGTGTGAAAAATAAAGGCTCGTTCGGTATCAACTATCGACAGTTCTTGGACTGGACTACACCACCGCCGCCAATCGACATGGATGTTGTCGAAAAGAAGCTTCGCAAATGTGCACATGAGCAAGCTAATAACCTTCCAAGCAGACAGCTTTCTGAGGTCTTTGCTAGTTGGAACCAAATCTTCTCGACGGAAAAAGAGTCGACGTCGGAAGGAGTGATAAGTCGATCGACATTCGCGAATATCTGCACCACTCGCCTGAGTGTACCACTTGACGAAAACGAGTTGCGCACATTACTCTACACTTACGACCCTGAACTGAAAGACCAAATGGACTACGGTGCTTTTCTCAAAATGAACTGGCGAGAGGCAACCATCACATACCAGAAACGAACTCAGGTTATTAACGATGCTGCAAAAGCAAAAACTATAGTAGCCAGGATTGGTGAGCAGCAACTTCAGAACCGAAAGGGCATTCCCAGGGAAATCGCAGAGGCCTTCTCGTATAACAAAGACTCGAGTAGCGCATTGGTGGAATCCGGTCAGTTCATCCTAGCGATGCGAAAACTAGGGATCTCGTTGTCACCGGACGATGTCAATTCTATCTTTGCTGCATTTGGAGAGCAGCCAGATAAGAGGAAGCTGAATTTCATGAAGTTCTTCAAGAACTCGTGCGACCTAAATGTGTCCAACTTTTCTGAGGTAAAACCTGACTATCAGCTTTCGGCAGCAGATGAAAAGCGACTGAGAAACGCATTAGGGGCTGCTGCAAAATTCTCATTGCCCACGTTTCAGCAGTGTTTTGTGCAGTTTCAAGAGTTTTGCGTGCTCCACCGTTTTGCTGAAATTGCCCCATCGAAGCTGTGGCGGCAGATGGAAGCAAACGGCTTGGTCGAGTTATTATCGAAGAGAGCAGTTGGACTGTTATCACAGAAGTTTTCGACTTTATTTGACGACGAGGATGGGGATTCAAGCCTGAGCGTATCTTTAAAAGCTGTCCATACTCACCTCAAGGACTTCTTGCAAGACGCTCCTGCTAAAGCTTCCCAAGAGCACGAAGAGCGTGAGTTAGTAGTACCTGCAGCAGAACCAAAGACTCCACGAGCGCCTATCGCCACTCTTTTGGACTTTCTAGACTCGTGTGACGAGCGTGGAGTTGATTTACGTGGAGAACTTGAAGCTCGCGACGGCATGTACACAGGCTTCATAACAGCAATGGAACTAAAAGATATCCTACTACGTCTAGGGATCGCGAAATCTGCCTCATCTTCATCTGCAGAGGCAGTGATAGGACAACTAGTTCGTCAGTTCCGAAGCCCCGAACGAAACGATGCAGTACGCTATACGGAGATGCTGTTCGAGGCGACCAAACCTGTGTGGCCAGGTGCTGAATCACGCTATGATATAAATACTGAGCACTTGCGATCACGCATTCGTCTAAAGGCCAACTTTGCGGGTCAAATCGACCATTCCGATAAAACGATTTATGCCAGATTGGATGCTGCTTTTAATCATTTCGACCGAGACCAGAAGGGATTCTTGACAGCGGATAGCATTTGCAATGGACTGCGAGCGTTAAACTACGATCTTGCTCCAGCCCAACTCGGCATCTTGATGCTCAACATGTGCGTCTTCCACCACGAGGGAGGTGGGCTTTCACGAACTGAGTTCGACTCGTTCGTGCTAGATCCCTATGCTGCCTGTCTATTGAAGAAAGTATCCGATAGACTTTACTCCGAGGTGCAGTCTCAAAGCCAAACCTCAATGCCACGAGTTGCGTATTTGAGCCGGCTCTTAATGGAATGTGGTGGAAGTAGTCACCAAAGCAGTCTACCAGCGGAAACTTTTTGGACTCAACTGGAGCGAGCGCTGGAGCGACAAGTGACAACACTAGACAAGCTACGACTAGAACATCTTTTCGATGTGGCGCGAGACAGTAAAATTGCCTACAAGCTCTTCCTTAAGGTAATGTCTCAATGGCGAACTCCAGTCAGCGTCCCTGTAGTCTCCCTTGATAGCGGTGTGACCAAACAAGGACAAAAAGGCACCTCCGAACAACGAGCGGCAACTAAACCGGAGAAACAACCTTACTCACAGGAAAACGCCACAAGCGATAAGCTGCCTTGCGCGAGCGATGCTATTCTTCGATCACTGTACAACCAGATGTCATCGATTGATTTTGCCTCCCAACTTGACATTGTGGAGGAATATTTGAGAGAAAAGGATCATCGACACACGGGCAGCATCAAGATGAAGCAGTTGAAGCGAGTGTTCGACCAGATTGGTCTGTCCCTGTCTGCAGATGCCTTTACAAGCTTGCAGCTTTACTTTCCAGGTGTAGCGTCACCGAGCCGCACACAAGAACACGAAGAGCTTATAGCTTACGGAAAGCTTCTGTTGGCACTAGAAACGTTTTATGGGAAGAACGACGGCTAATCACTTCAAACAAAGCTGTTGAATTTGTAAATCACGATCCTGCTGAGTCGCCACCAGCACCCACGAGTTCCTTTTCCATGGTCTTAACACGGTGAAGAACCCGCGCAGCATCCAGTCGACGATTTGATGCGAGAAGCTTTGATATCAAAGTACGGTCTTCAGCTATGCGTTTGTGAAGACGCTCGACATACATGTCCAAGGTCAGCTTCCCCGTCTGCATCTCGATTTCCAACAACTGCTTCTTCAATGCGAGAGAATCGTATCGATCGTTCCACTCAAGCGCAGTGGGTCCTGTTAATGACGGTAGTTTTGCCCCCACCTTTTCGAGCTGATATGGTAAAACACAAGATTTCTCAGCAATAAATCCCAACAGGAAATGCCTACAGTATCCACTTACCTCTTCATTGATAACATCGTAGCTCACTATCAGATCGAGATGGTGCGGATCGTCCATCTTTGCAGTGATAGAAGCAAGTTTCTCCTCTTCCACCGTTGCGCGGCTGTCATCGGAAACTTGCGTTGTATTGTTGCCGGACGCGTTGGCGGCTTCGGTGGGAGATGGCTCTAATGTCACGCTTGGGATGGTAAGCTGTTCCGAAGAAGTAATCATAGGTTCAGGATAATCCCCAATGACCAGATCCTCGACAGTTTCCTGACGGAATTCTTTCTCCTTAAGCGGGCGACGCATTTGGATAGCGATCTGTGACCACGAGTCATCATTAGGTACAATGAAACCCATTTCATTGGCAAACAAGAAAAATGGTTACCTCGATATCCCCTCCACAGGGTTTTCGGTTTAATCCGAGGAAAGGAAGATGAGTGTTTACTTCGCAGCAAGTCAGCAGAGGTGTCTGTAATTGACATTCGCAATGCGCGTTAGACATAACCATCAGCATTGATCACCAAGCCATTCATACATACCAGTTCTTGATAAGCCCGAGCAACGAGTTCAGGATTGCGAAATAACGTTCCCGGCTTCCATACTTCGAAAATGGCTTTCTTTATCTCCAAAAGACGCATCGTTCCTCGTGATCTGGCCAGCTCGAAGACAAAATCCGTCTGGCCTGAAGAGATTTTCGTGACAAATCGAGCGTCCTGAGTAATCTGGAAGTCTGCAGTTTGCCCCTCGTGCGGCGTTGTGGATGGAAAATTGAGGCAAAACTTGACGAACACGGGTTTGCCTGCCACCTGGGACAGCCCAGTTACACTTTTCACAGAGACCTTCACCTGGTCATCTGCGATAAAGGGCAGCTCATATTCCACTTGACGAAACGTTTTGACAATTTCGTAACGTGGTGGCAGCTGCAGTGAGTTTTGTCTGCTTTTCCGTAGCTTCTCTAGCTCGACAGCATAACGCTTACGCTGTTCGTATCAAACACAACTTTAGACACATCCCACCAACGCAGGATCAAGTGCGAGAGAGTGCTCACCTTTGCCAACCACTCCGATGCTTCTCTCCGATTAACTGACAGATTTTCCTTTGCCAGCGTCATCGCTCTGTTACCAAAGTCAATCAGCAGTTGTTCTAGCTCCTGAAATTTAGCAGCGGTAGCGAGGTTTTGTGCCGAGTTCATTGTGTTTGCATTATCAGCTGCGTGCTGCTTTAGATCAATGAGGTTTTGGATCTGTTTCGCTCGTCGCATCGCGTCCAGCGCACCTTGAATGTCACCCTTCCGCTTCAGCGTCAACGCCGTCTCTCGTGCTTTCTGTAGTTTTGCAGTGAGCTCGGCGATATGGTCAGTCTCCACATTACCTCTAGCACTCGCATACCTAACAGGCACAGCAAGTTTTTCCATCTCTGGCACAGAAGAAATTGAATGCAGCGATCCGCTCGACATTACGGTCGTAAGATGGTTGGATTTCCCCTCGGAGTCGGACTCATCGAACGCGTCGATAAGGTAATCTTCATCTATCGATGGGGCAGCTTTCAGCAGCCGAGACCTAGAGAGAGCTGATTTGGGCTCAACCTGTACTGAAGCAGCTACAGCACTTCTCGTTGTTATCGAGGTATTTTGAGGTACATCTTCAGCCAAAGAAGCGTCAACAACACCTAGATTCCGTAGTTCCGCCGCGAATGCTGGATCGTTCATATCCTCAGCGGTTACTTCGACGTCTGCAGTGCTGTCATTGTCGCTATCAGCTTCGCTTTCGTCGAGAGATGCAGCACTCGAGTTCAGACGTACCGACGTGGTACTGCTGATTGTAACGGAGCGATAAACAGCTTCAGTGGCTGCTGGGGGTGCAGACTGCTGGGCTGCTGGTGATGGTTTAGACATCGCAGCGGAAGTTCGCAGTTTGTCTCGTTTTATTTCCAGCTCCTTAATTTTCCGCATACACGCAAGTGCATCGGCAATCTGGTTCTGTCGTTTAAGTTGCACAGCTTGCAGTTTACACTCGTGAATCTGCGTCTCCAATGCTGATACCTGCTGCATAGCGTCGTCTTTCCTCGCCGTACTTTTACCACTTGAATCTTCCGACAGACCCATTTTGGCTAACTGAGCCAGAAATTCGGGATCCTGCATGTCCTCATCCGTAACTTCAACGTCTTGGTCTCCATCATCCAGAGCAGCCTCCGTGGACGCTCTGCCCCTCATTCCGGTCCCGTCATGCTGTATTAGACCACTCGAAGTGTCAGTTTCTTTTCCTTGTGCAGCCTGAAGCTGCTTGGCCTCTCGGAACTTGACCAGAGCCTCTTGAATCCTCCCCTCTCTCTTCAGCGCTAGTGCCTCCATCTTCAAAGCGTGTACCCGTGCAGCTCTCTGCGACGACGGCGTCATTTCTTCTTCGTCTCTTCTCGGGCCTTGAGTAGGTGCCTTTCCGCTCATCTCGACTGCCTCCCTATTGTGATTCTCCCTCGCTGTCTGATGAGCCTCGTTCAGCACCCCACGGAGCTCGTGCTTCGCGTCTCGGTGACCATCACTCTCTTCGTCCTCGTCATCCAGGTTGATTCCGTCTAGTTGCAAGTCTCTCAGGATCTTTGCTTCTTCGTCGTCCTCATTGTCACCTCCAATCCCGAATAGAATACTCTCCTCCGTCGGACTCATGCCTCCAGTGGCTCCTGTAGCGGCCAACAGAGCCTGAAACTCCGCCTGCACATCCGCGTCGTTCACTGGCTTGATGCCAAACTGTTTCTGCAGCTTCGCGAGGTTGTCCGTTTCCTCCGCCACCGCCTCCTTCGCGCGGCTCCGACGCCAAAACATTTTTACTTCCGCTTGCTTTTCTGAGTCTAATGATGCAATCGTTGTGATACAATACCCGTTTGAGTGATGGAAAGAGTGACATGGATACAAAATGACTTCAACATGGCAAGAACTTGTTCATCACACTCCGTTGACGCTTATTAACTATTCCCACGCTCTCGAAGCCTTTCCTCGTTTCCTGTCTCCATCGCTAGTCGCTGAAGCTCGTTCTGCTCGCTCCAAGGCGGCCAACGTGTCGTCTAGATTCTGCTTTCTGTGTCCGGAATGTGCCGCCTCAACGACAGCTGACGCTTCATCATCGTCCCAGTCTTCCTCACCAGAGCTCACGTCTCCATTGACAGCTACAAATCCAGCAGCAGCAAGAGCACACTTGCTTCCACCTCGAACGACGAAAGATTCGGTCTCTTCTGGCGCGTAGGAACCTCTTCGTCCGTTTATCAAATTGTCACGCCGCATGTCTCCTGTCCGCATCTTTTTCTCGGTAAACGCCTTGCGCGTCTTGATCGTTTTGATAGACTGGCGACAGAATCCTTCCGTACGCTTGTCGATCACAGGTGTCTCCTCGAAGCGAAACATATTGAGCTGTGGGTTACAGACGTCGCACGTCCCTTTGCACTCCGTCACTGCCATCTTTTGACCGAAATACCGCAATAAAGCTTGACGTCGACACTCTTTCTTTGTTGCAAATGCCTTCACATGCTCCAATAGCTTCGAGGCGTGCGCAATCGTGTCCACGTTCTTTGATCTTGACCGCTTCTGTCCAGCTGTAGACGTAGCACTATCGGGCTGCTTCGAGGCTTCTTTCTCAAGTAAAAATCGGAACAGATCATAGTCACGGGCAGAGTAGAAAAGTACACTTTGACTTGGCTCTCCATCTCGCCCAGCTCTCCCTGACTCTTGGTAAAAATTCTCGAGTGTTTTTGGGATATTCCAGTGCACGACGAAGCGGACATGAGGATGATCGATGCCCATGCCGAAAGCAATTGTTGCACACACAATTTGAATCTCCCCACTCAGCCACTTTTGCAGAGTTTCTTCCCGTTCTTGCTGCGGGATTTTAGCGTGGAAAGCGGCAACCTTTGCATTCGGGTCTCGCTGTCGTATCGAGAGCACCAGATCATCCGTGTCGCTCCGCTTATGGACATACACAACGCCACATGAACTGGCATGATCTTTCTTGATATAGCGACACAATGCTCCCACCGGATCCGCTAACATCTCCTTGTCGTACACGGTATACGAGATGTTTGCACGGTTGAAATCTGCTAACAGGACATCGGACCCATCGGCTGCAAAATGCAATTGCTTCGTGATATCGTCACGCACACGTTCGGTAGCAGTAGCAGTGAGAGCAATAATTGGCACGTTAGGAAACGATCTTCTTAGCCTTCCCAAGTTCCGATATGCTGGACGGAAATCGCGGCCCCAGGAGCTGATGCAGTGAGCTTCGTCGATTGCAAACAAAGCGAGGCCTCCTTGTTTCTGCAGTTGCTGCAGTAGCAGCTTCATCTGGTCGCCCTGTAGCGTTTCAGGTGTCGTGTATAGCAACTCGATGCGTTTAAGATCGGCGTCTTGCGTCTTGGTCTCGAACTGCTTCAGCAGTCGAGTTACAATCTGTTCTCGATGAGGCTGAGTCACCAAGGAGGACAGCATCTCCACTCCGATATTTCTTCTGCGCAGAGCAGCTACTTGGTCTTGCATTAGAGCCAACAGCGGACTGATTACCACTACGAGGCCGGGTAGTAATAGCGCCGGCAGTTGGAAGCAGAGTGACTTGCCGCCTCCAGTGGGCATCAGAACCAACGTGTCCTTTCTAGACAATACGCGACGCAGAGCAGACCCTTGAAGCCCTCGAAGAGTCGAGAAGCCGAACTGCTGTAAAGCAGCGCGGATCTTGGCCCGGCGCGCTGCCTTGGCGTCGGCCATGAAGAAACTTGAAGTGAAATGACCAGCTCAAAAAAAGCAATTATTCACAATCATTGCTGCTAAAGCTTTCTCTTTTAGGTTTAAGAGCGAAAGAATAATTCTTTTCAACTTCAATTTATTTTAAAATCATTTAAACTTAAAAAATCTGTTTTATGCATTTTCAATTTTTCTTACAAAAATAAGGCGTTTCTATTTGCTAAGAAAAACAAAAGTTTAAAACAAAAAGAAACGATTTTGCTTTTTTTAGTTTTTAAAAACAGCAATAAAGCTTTCTGATTGGATTTCTAAACAAACTTAATGTCCGTCTTCTGAAAAGTAGCTCAAAATGGTGCGGAAGGCTTCTCGTTTAGCGCCGGGACAGCAGTCGGTGGAGGAAGTTCTGCTTAACCGTTTGGCCAATGGGGACAGTGTCACATCCTCTACACGCTTCTCAGCGGCGCTGCCCTCTTACGGCTCGACTCGGCGTTCTCAGACATCGACGGCCCCTCGAGGGACTGCAAGTGCAATGCGTGCGTAGCTTTCTGCATTGCCGCTATGAATCGATTGCGAGCTTGGTCTGCTGATACTGCTGCGTTTTCTCCAATAATCTCACACCCCAACAGATCTATCAGATAGCAATCGTGCTGGAGCCCATGTGTCGACAGCTCCGGCTGGAAGTGAGTCGAAATCTTCCGCTGGTACGGCAGGGTTAGCAGGAGCACCACCCATGTCGATGAAGTTTATGCAGCAAATGTCGAGTGAGATCGCAATTCTCGACCAGCGATTGCATCGTGTAGCCGCGAACTTGGCTGCAACTCCAAGCTTTGGAACGGAAAAGTGGACAGCCAGATCTTCGAACGATAAACGCAATGTTCATCAGTTAGGGATTGAAAAATTCTTGCAGAATAGTATAGAGGAAGTCTCTAACGCACACAAAGTTGTTGGAGGAAACAATGATCATATACGGCGAACGACGTCGGTGAACCCGAAGGCTAGTGCTCAAGTAAGCTACAGTGTGCGTGATATTCGCTCGACAGTGCGACGTCTGGACAAGGTGTTCCACGAAGTAGCCTCAGGCGATAAGCAACGCCATCTAGCGGCTACGAAGATATCGATGACGTGTCGAGGCTTTGTAGTCCGTCGTAGATACCAGAAATTGCAGGCTGCTCTTGGAGGATGGCGCTCTCGAAAGAGCATCCTCTTTCTCACATACATGGAGGAATTCGCAGCACGCGAAGAGTTTGTTAACAAACAGATTAACATCATGCAAGAAGAGCGAACTCGGTTTTTCTTGCGTCGTGTGCTGGCTGAAATACGCGATGTCGTACTCATGAACTTGCCGGTGAAGATGGCAAGGCTCGAAGAAACGGAGCGTCGTTTCCGAGAGAGACAATGCAATTTATTGAAATACGTATTCCTACCATGGAAATCGGCAGCTTTAGGCCCACGAAGTCGAAAGAGAGCTTCAGCTGATGCCAGAGCACGCCACTACGCCGCAAGACAACGCCTAGAAGCGATGGAACGATTCGATCTCATCACCCAGGAAATGGTCCATGAAGAGTTCCTCAAAGACAACATCCGTCGAATTCGTACTCGACACCCAATGCACGTACTCAAACGCTACTTCCACCTGATGAAGGGCATAGTATTCGTCCCTTTGAAGAGGAACATGGAAGTTGCGATAGCCCACGATCATCGGAAAGCCCTCAAACGCGTCATGGACGAATGGGTGAAGATTTTTCGAGCAACTCAAATTGACAAAGCCATCGCAAGCGCAGTTGAACAACGCACTCTTGAACGATACGATCAGCACTTTAACCTTCGCAAGATCGATGCTCACTACCGACGAACACACATGCTCAAGCATCTACGTGCCTGGTTTAAGCATTGCCAGCTTATCCGTCGTGTACGACGGCTGTTTGAGGGAAGCACCAAGGAAACGCTGAACTGGCTCATGAAACGCTGGCGCGTTCGAGCTCAATATCAACACGCTTTACGGGAAAATACTGTGGAGGAATGGCACGCGTACTCACGGCGTATATATACGATTCCGTTTCGACGATGGTATGTTTTCATGGCTCGCAGACGCGCTGCACGGGCGGCAAAGGAGAGCATTTGTGTTGCTTACGAGCGTCGCCAACGACGTCATATCAAGTACAATTTCTTTAGGTTGTGGAAGCATCAAGTGTTGTTCGGCCACATCGAAGGCTTGCATTCCAAAGTTCATTTATTACGCAGTCTTGAGGACCAGAAGCGTATGTGTATCGGGTTGGAAGCCAATGCAGCGCTATATCGAGATAATATAGCAGCATTGCAAGCGTCAATCGTGCAGCTAGAAGACAAACTCAAGGAGAAGCAGCAAGAACTTGCTCAATTACACGAGACTACACAAGCTACACGTTTCGGTATTCACCAGGCTGAACAGAGTATCGCTCGTGTGCAGGGTATGCTTGAAGCAGTAAGAATTGTCCATCCTGGCACAGTGGAGCGCATCGAGACCATGTACAGAGACAACCCGCTGCTCTCGAAAGACCTTAAAGACGTCATCACACTGCACGCTAACAAGAGACGCGAACTTTTATCGAAGATTGAGCTGGATCGAACGGAACTGGAGGTGCAGAATGCTTCAAAGGGAGCTGGAACACAAGAAGACCAAATGCTCTTGCATAGAGTCAAATGGGTTCTCTCGCGCTTAGATCTGGGTATGCACGAACAAAAGAGCAGCAACCAACACGACACGAGAATGGCCGGTAATAATCGCATGGAGACTATGAATCAACTCTGTGCTTTGTTCGAGTTTATCCGCAATGGGGACACTGCGCTGCTAGCTCCGGTAAATAATCCAGAACATCGTGAACAAGTGCAACACAGCGAGCCTTTTGGCTCCATGTTGCATATTGGTAACTCCGACGATGGAACTGTTCATCGAGCAGATATCATGGATGATTCCAACACGTGGCACTCGTTCTTGCAGTCGTTGACGATCAAATTCGTTCCAGATAATCTGCTGTCAGTCAAGGAGCGACTGGTGCGCCGTGCCACTCAAATGGATGCCGAGATCGCTGAGATCAAAGCGAACCCGCAACTCCATCATCTCTACAGGTAAAACAACAACTTGGTATAGAAAGATATAGCATATGAACGGATTTCTCCTTTAATGAACGAGCGAACGGAAGGGACTCAATCCTCAAAGTGGGGGGGAAGCACCACATTCCATCCACCTTTGTTCTATCTACCCCTTGTCGACATGTTACTGCCAAACTGCTACCCAAGAACCTGTGACCTTAATACCAAACACCGTCGCCCTGACTCTGGAGATTCCTGCTGCCGGTTAGATCCGCAAAAATTAGACACCACGCCCACGATCTGCCTGTCTGTTTTACTCGTTCTGGTGAATCTTGGCAGCCAGGAAGAGCTTCTGGAAGGACTTTCCGGCGTAGCGGTTGATGTGCTCACAGTACGTGCTCATCTGCTTGGTAATGAGGAGCGACTCAAGACGCGAAGGCTGGTTCACCGACTTGAAAAAGGTGGGGTCTTCTTCAGGCACAAGCTCCTCGCCGTTCTCGCGACGTACCTTGTTCTCCTCCCGCTGTCTATTCTGCCACTGCTGGTAGGCGGCGCGCTGCTTAGATAATGCGCGCTCGTAGCCTTGAAATTTGTAGTGCTCCTGTGCGAGTTCATCGGCCCACAACGTCATGTTCTTCAGGCTGCTCTCCAGGTAGGCGTTGGTAGCTAAGTCCAGACGCTCAAAGCTGCTGGCCGGGGCGCTGTCATTAGCGTGCGCCGTCTGTTGCAACCAGCACGTGATGATGTCGGAGTTTCGAATCTCAATGGGGATTTCCTCCACCACAGTGGCCGAGCGGATGTCAGCCTTAGCGAAGATCTCCTTAGTGAATGAATTGGTCTTGTATGTGTCGATGAAGGCCTTGGTGAGACGCACAGCACGCAGACTGAGCGATCCCTTGGAAGTCTCGGCAGAGTCGTAGATGAGGCAAATGGCGTTCGGACCCAGCGACTTTTGGTATTGGAACTGGTGCTCGATGAAAGAGGCCGTGCAGAAAGTGCCCATAGCCACGGACTGGTACCATCCCACCTTATTGTTATCCATACCCACTTCACGCAGACTCTTCATCATGTCCAGCTGATACTCGTCCGCACCCTTCTTACGCTCACTGCTGGGAGGCGACGGGAAGCTGTTGGTCACCTCCAGCACCTGTTCATTGTCCACACCTAAAAGTGATCCAGCCACGCCGCCGGGAAGGCTTTCGTGACAGTGCTTAATGATCTGCAGTAGCGCCACGCCCTCCAGCGCAACACTCGTAACGGGAGTCACACCTTCGAAGATGTCAATGGCCTCAGTGGACTCGGGAGCCGGTCCCAAAGCCGCCACAGTGGAAGAAGAGGCATCGGAAGTGGCAGGTGCAGCAGCGGCGGGCGTCCGTGCCGGCGTCGCGTCGTGTCGAGACCCCAAGCCATGGTGTAA